GCTTGTAAAAGGATTGTCATTGATGTTGTATTGCTGTGTGGTAAAAATAGAGTAGAAGTCATTCAGATTCCCAAAGATGCATGGCCTTGCATGGTGTTCAATTGAGAAAGAGATATTGGGCGAGAATGAGAGAGAGAGAGAGAGTGAGAGGGGGAGATAGGGGGTTAGAGAGAGGATGAGAGAGAGAGAGAGAGAGAAGAAGAAGAAGAAGAAGATGCCCAGGCCTATATAGTTCAAGCCCTGAAAAGTCCATTATGAGATGGGGGGGGGGGGGGAGGCGGGGTCTGCAATGAAAAGGTTTCCATCTTTGATCACTATGACCCGTCGATTTGGTATCATTGCTTGAACAAGAATGGAAGAGAAGGAGACACGAAAGGAGGAAAATAGAAACAGGAAGGAGTCATCATTTTCAAAACTCGGTATATATGGTATAGAAGCATATGCAAATTCCCGCGGGAGCGGAATTGCGATATAAAAGTTTCCTTTTAAATGGGCTTTCATCGAAAGGGTGCGGTGCGGTACGGCGCGGTGTGGTGTGCTCAACGCACCCATTCGATAAAAGAGGGGGGCCTTTTCTCGAAAGGGTGCGTTGAGAGCGGAGTATCGTTTTAACACACCCTTTCGATGAAAGCGGGGGGGCTTTTCTCGAAAGGGTGCGTCGACTAGTCTTTCGCATCAGTCGTTTAAAATGAGGATCTCGGACAGAAGGTAATAGTTGCCAATTTAAGTATATCGAAAATGTATTAAATAAAATGGAATGGTCTTGATTACAGAGTGGTCTCTTTGATGGGGGAGACAGAGAGAAGGAAAAAAGGGAAAGGGAAAAGGAAGATAAAAGGAAAGAAAGAAGAATAAGAAGAGAAGAGGGAAACGGGGGGGGGGGAGGGGCGAAGGACTCTTGCCCCCCCCCCGCCAACAAATAAATAGTAGAGAGAGAGAGAGAGAGAGAAGGGAAAGGGAAAGGGAAAGAAAATATAAAAGGAAAGAAAGAAGAGGAAGAAGAATAAAAAGAAAAGAGGGAAACGGGGGCGAAGGGCTCTTGCCTCCTCCCCCCCCCCCCGCCAACAAATAAATAAAGAGAGAGAGAGAGAGAGAGAGAGAAGGGAAAGGGAAAGAAAATATAAAAGGAAAGAAAGAAGAAGAAGAAGGAAAGATGGATAGGGGGAAGGGTGAAAGATTTTTACCTCCCCACCCCCCCCCCCTCCCGCCAAAAAAATAAATAAGAGAGAGAGAGAGAGAGAGAAGGGAGAGGGAAAGAAAATCTAAAAGGAAAGAAAGAAGAGAAAAAGAATAAGAAAAGAGGGAAAGGGGGCGAAGGGCTCTTACCAACAAAATAAATAAGAGAGAGAGAGAGAAGGGAAAGGGAAAGAAAAGATAAAAGGAAAGAAAGAAGAGGAAGAAGAAGAAGAAAAGAGGGAAACGGGGGCGAAAGGCTCTTGCCCCCCCCCCCCCCCCCGCCAAAAAATAAATAAGAGAGAAAGAGAGAAGGGAAAGGGAAAGGGAAAGAGAATAAAAAAGGAAAGGAAGAAGAAGAATAAGAAGAAAAGAGGGGCTCTTGCCTCCTCCTCCTCCCCCCCCCCCCCCGCCAAAAGATAAGTAAGAGAGAGAAGGGAAAGGGAAAGGGAAAGAGAAGATAAAAGGAAAGAAAGAAGAGGAAGAAGAAGAAAAGAGGGTAACGGGGGCAAAGGGCTCTTGCCTCCTTTCTTTCCTATTCTCCCTCTTTTTCGTTTTTCTCTTTCTTTCTTTTCTTTCTTCTCTTTTCTTTCCTTTCTTTTCTTTTTTCTTTTCTTTTTTTCTTTTCTTTCCCTTTTACTCTCTTTTTTCCCCTCCCCCTTTTCTCTTTTTTCCCGACGGCAGCGCAATTTTACCGACAATATCCTGACAGGTGGGGGGGGGGTGTCGCACCCCCACACCCCCTTTGGAGACGCCCCTGCCTTCGCCACTGTTGGCGACCACAAGGCTATCAATACAAATTAAGACATATTAATGAAGATTCTTTTTTAATGTTGCAGAGAGATAAGTATTTTCTCTATGAACTTGTTTAATGGACAATAAATAATATTAAAAACATGAATACTCTAGCGGTATAATGATGAGAGAGATGATTTAAGTCATACTTTTTTTTCAATGTGATTGGAGTGGACTTGAGGGTGGGGGGGGGGGGGGGGTCCCCCTAAGATCTCGGCCGTTTCACAGCCGATCGCCGCGAAAATGCATATTTATGGTAATTTATGCAAACAAGGTCAGAGAATTCACATTTTTACCCATAAATCATATATAATTCATATTCGAGCGTTCTTTTTCACTTCATATATTCGTTAGAATAATAATACGACAACAAAGTTGGAAGAGCCAGTTTATCCCTATGTTATCTCTTGTTTTGATAATTTGTATTTATGTATTATATTATTTTGTTATTTCATTTCATTTCTAACCACAATTCAACTATTTTTACCCAAAATCAAACACATTTACTTGAAACAAGACCAAATAACCAATGTTTTCTCTTTTTTTAAAAGAATAAATGGTATTTCCATATGTTTGGTACATAAATCACAAAAATGAGCGATTTTAGGGCTGACATGCACAAACAAAAGGTCACGTGACTCCGCAATTATACGTCCGATTTTCAACAAAAAAAATGTTTCAAAAGATGCGTAAGACTCGAAAGAAAAAAGTCATGAAAGAAAAACTTTATATCTGCCGCGGTTCCGGAGTAGTCGCGAAATTACTAGAGAGCACTAATCTTTTTTGGGGCCCTCAAAAATTTAAAAAAATCTTACCCCCCCCCCTTGAACGCCAGGGGGGGGGGGGTATCTCCCCAAAACGGTAAAAATTAACGTGTTTTTTTTAACGTTTTTTTCACAGGGCGGAGCCCTCAGAAGCTCAGGGGTATTAAACATCAAAATTAACGTCGGATGAGCATAATTTTATACCTTATTTGTGACAGTGGCAGGACACAATTTGGTGTTGGGTCCAGGGGGCGGAGCCCCCAGAAGCTCAGGAGTTTTTCCATTAAATAATTATTATTTTATACCTTATAATTGGCGTGGGTCCAGGGGGTTTTGGGCAATAAATAACGGTCAGATGAGTATATTTTTATATCTATTTGTGACACTGGAAGGACACAAATTGGTGTTGGATCCAAGGGGCGGAGCCCCAAGAAGGTGAGGGGTTTTATACATCAAATTATCGTCAGATGAGCATATTTATATATCTATTTGTGACACTGGCAGAACACAAATTCTTCTTCCTCTTCCTCTTCTTTCTTTCCTTTTATCTTCTCTTTCCCTCTCCTTCTCCAACATAAGATGCAAGACGGATATATATCGACTCACCTTCTTTCCAAGAACCATACGGCCTGGAATTTACTTTCCCCCCCCCCCTACCATCTTTGCCTGCGACGCAGTCGAAACCTTCAAAGCCGGACTCTTATGGGAAGCCATCCAAGGGGGTAATATAATCATAGTCCCTCCCCACAACTGCAATGTGATGGGACTTAATTCTAAAATGTTCTAGAAGCAACAAACACTCTCTCTCGAACGATAACGTTCTTATTGGTCATCTTTATATCCCTCTTGAGGATCAGGACCAGGATCAGAACAGATTCTCTCTCTCTCTCTTATTTATTTTTTTGGCGGGGGGGGGGGGGGGGAGGGAGGAGGCAAGAGCCTTTTGCCCTTCCCCCATTTCCCTCTTTCCTTCTTCTTCTTCTTTCTTTCCTTTTATATTTTCTTTCCCTTTCCCTTTCCCTTCTCTCTCTCTCTCTCTCTCTCTCTCCTATTTATTTGTTGGCGGGGGGGGGGGGGGGGGGGGAGAAGGCAAAAGCCCTTTGCCCACGTTTCCCTCTTTTCTTCTTCTTCCTCTTCTTTCTTTCCTTTTATCTTCTCTTTCCCTTTCCCTTTCCCTTCTCTCTCTCTCCTATTTATTTGTTGGCGGGGGGGGGGGGGAGAGGCAAAAGCCCTTTGCCCCCGTTTACCTCTTTTCTTCTTCCTCCTCTTCTTTCTTTCCTTTTATCTTCTCTTTCCCTTTCCCTTCTCTCTCTCTCTGATTTATTTTTTGGCGGGGGCAAGAGTCCTTCGCCCCCCCCACCTTTCCCTCTTCTCTTCTTATTCTTCTTTCTTTCCTTTTATCTTCCCTTTCCCTTTTTTCCTTCTCTCTGTCTCCCCCATCAACATAGTAATAACGAAAAAGACCACTCTGTAATCAAGACCATTCCATTTTATTTAATACATTTTCGATATACTTAAATTGGCAACTATTACCTTCTGTCCGAGATCCTCATTTTAAACGACTGATGCGAAAGACTAGTCGACGCACCCTTTCGAGAAAAGCCCCCCCGCTTTCATCGAAAGGGTGTGTTAAAACGGTACTCCGCTCTCAACGCACCCTTTCGAGAAAAGGCCCCCCTCTTTTATCGAATGGGTGCGTTGAGCACACCACACCGCGCCGCACCGCACCGCACCCTTTCGATGAAAGCCTTTTAAATGTATCGTCAATAAACCCCTGGACCTCACTCTTCTTGTGAACAATTATTATCACTCATTATGAACTCAGATAGCTATAACAGCGTAAACATGACATTAGACGTAGGAGAGCATCTACCCATACGATACCCCAAACTTTGCTTTATTGTTACTTAGCTTTAGAGCTAGCTAGCTAGCTAGCTAGCTGTGAGTAAATTTCCACTTTTTTTACGCACACAAAACAAGTCGACCAAAATCAAAGTCGGCCATTAATAACTCACAAGACAGCATGTATGCTCGGTATTGTACAGAGCACTTCGCGTAACAAAAACTTACCACTGGTTTAGATTTTAGACATTTCCCTAGCAATTTAAATCGAATCTCAAAACACATAAGTGATGTCTTAAAAAGTTCCCGTTCAATTTATTCTTTTATTTTGCCATTGTTGGCATTTTTACCTTTTAGACCGATAATGGACACAATTTCAGAGAGCGAAAATGTATTCCGAGTTTACTGTGGGTTTAGTGATTGGGCGCTAATCTACAACGCATCGATCGCGTCGTAGACTTTTGCAGTAAGGAAAATGGACGAAAGGTGACCCATGTTTTTGCAATTTAATGAACTTTTACGATAAAATTTTGATTCTCAGATCATTTATCTGAATCTACAGAAATCATGCCTCGTTCAAGAAGCAAGAGCTCATCAGTAGAGCGAAAATCAAGCAAGAAAAAGCGATCTCGCACTCGTTCCAGATCCAGATCGCGGTCAAAATCGAAGGCGCGGGATCGGGATAGAGAAAAACATGACAGACATGAAAGAAAGGAGGCAGAAAGAGCTGAAAGATCAACAAAGGAAAGAGAACGATCGGAAAGACATAAAAGTAGCAAATCATCTAGGCGTTCCAGATCCAGATCAAGGGAGAGGAGAAGACGGGAAAGGTCGAAATCAAAACGGAAAACTCCAAGTCCAGATATAGACATTTTCGGCAGGGATTTGAGCAAGCGTAATGCTCATGAAGAAGTGCAGAAGAGACAGGAGGAAGAGAGACGAGTGGAGCTGGAAAGACAGAGAAGAATGTGAGAACAAATGGGGTTTAATACATTCCTATCTATCTTGTTTGAAGTGATTTACTGGTGAAATAAATGTAATAACTGCATTTAACCAAACTAAGTTGAACAGGATTTAATATTAAATTAAAACAAATTATTAACTGAAGTGAAAAATGAAGCTGAGTCTGAAACAAACTGGATCTAAAAAGTAAAATCTAAATGGCAGGGGGAGGGGCTAGTGACTGTGTCGTGTGTCCGGATGCTTACAAAAAAAAAAAAGGAATCCCTTTGGCCTTTGCCTCCTTTATTAGCTTTTTGTCTATCATAGTCACAAGTCTCAAAAAGATTTATGCAAATTGCACTGCTTTGCCTTAAGCTTATAGTACAGTTCGAGAATTTTTGTACACTTTTTGTACAAATTCCTGTTTGATGAAAAACAAAAGATAATTTGTCAACCTTCTAAAGTTCTAGGCCTACATAGATAGTGGGATAGAGTCTACACAGAGGGTCATCCTACGTACTGAATAGAGCAGGGGACTCGGAAAGCATGAAGCTCACTGCCATTCCAGGCCAGGCCCAGGAGGTTTTTAACTGCCAGATGAACTGATTTATTGTCATGATTTACAAATGAATTGTAATTTTTTTCTGTAATGATTCTAGACTGGTAAGGTATGGGGAATTCTTTTATGTCCAATGCAATATAAAACATGGTCTTTACCACTGTATGTACGGTATGCATAATCTCAAGGTTATTTCTACATTTTCATCTTCAGGATCATTTTTAAAATATGACTTTTAACATTAAGATGAAGAACTTAATTGTACAAGATGTCAGTCATATGTCGGACTAAGAAGAAAAAAACATACACAATGCAGAGTTCCAGTGAGAGAGACCAGCGATCAATGCCCCAAGAGCTGGCACCAGGAGATTCTCTGCGATATAATGTCTAAACCTTATAGTAATGTTATACTTTGATGTTTGTTGATTAACAGACGACAGCAGGAGATGGAGGCCAAGTTGATAGAGGAGGAGGTGACTCGGAGAGTGGAGGAGATGGTGGCACAGAGGGTGGAGGAGGAGTTGGAGAAGAGGAAAGATGACATTGAAGAGGAAGTCGGGAGAAGGGTGGAAGAGGCCAAGAAGATTATGGAGAAAGAGATGATGGAGGAGATGGAGAAACAGAGAGAAGCAGAAGTAGCAGCACAGAAAGCTAAAGAGGTCAGTTTAAAACCTAAATATACATGTATGACGCCATAACCTGCCTTATAGTCTTATACCCCAGATACCATGATCTGTACATGAAGTATTCATTCTCTGGGACCTTTTCTACCTGTAGATAGCTTAAATGTCATTAACTTAAAAGTTAATTGTTAAATAGTTTCTGTTATAGGTTTACCACATGCGTGGACAAGCATAAATAAGCCAGAACTGAAGTTGCTAAACACTAAGAAGGGCTTGTTAATACTTGTAGATCTGCACATAGGTTGGACCTCTAATATACAGAGCAAGTTTATAGTACTTGGTTCTTGGTACACTTAAAAGTGTTTACATAGTGCATGTATGTTATGTTCGGTATGCGGCTTTATTGAACTGAACCAAAGAACACTATTATTTTTATACCAGCTCTTATTCTCTCAATTTTTGACCATTTTCAGGAGGAAGAACTGGATAAACGAGAGGCGCTTGAGAAGATCATGCATGAAAATCAGCGCAAGATTGAAGAAGCCCAAAGAAAACTGGTGAGTTGTCAATGTCTAGTAGCTGTGGGAGGTTGAGAAAAGACCCAAAACACAGCCCAGGAAGAATAAAAGATTTTTTGTTAAAGTCTGGAAAATAAGCAGGAAAGAGAAACTGTTTAAGATGAATTGATAGAGAGGGGAAATAAGGGGGGGGGGGGTACGCAAAACGTTCTAAATGAAAAAAGTTATTTAGGTAATCTATCCCTTGAGCAATCCCTTTCCCTTCTCATCCTCCCCACAACCTAACTTAAATGTTTGACTTTCCTTTCACAGGGTTTTTTTCTGTACCATTTATATGCATTATGTGAAATTATTTTGTATCTTTATCGTTTTTCCCGTTGTGGGATAACAGCCTAATACATCATGTATTACATTTTGCATTTCTATTACAGGCTTTCTTTTTTACAGAAACTATTCGGATCAATCCCATACATTATATCTGAATAAAAGGCCCAATTAAATTTATTTCCAGTTTACTGTCACCCCATCATGCACTGCAAAGCGACCTTTAAAAAAATATCAGGTTATGTACAATTTCTACAAATGAAGAGACTGTAAAAAAAAAGAAGTGTGATTTATGCTGGTACTGAATTTGATATTTAGAGTTGGAATTTCAAATCAAGGATTTTGGACAGAAGTACGGTCATGTCGCATCAAATATCAATTCCAACCCTTTGTGATGTATACTAGAAAAAATACTTAATCTTTGACAGGAAACTGGTATTTAATTTTATTGGGCCTAATGCTTGTTCCTTTACCTTACAGTGTATGTGTTTTGTGTCAGTTATGTGATGAAAAATCAATTGCACATTTCTCTATATATTCTACACATGTTTTGGTAATCAAGTATATATTCCATCTATCACCTGTTGCAAATTAACTTAAATCAAAAGCACTATTGTTCTTCAGGCATTTTGCTTATAATAGTACGGCTAGTGCATATATATTAGGAGGAGGTATAATAAATTTTAAGTAGATGATGGTATACTATAAGATTCATATTTCAGTTTTTTAGAGACATTTTCACATTTGAAAAGGCAATAGGTTGGATTTCATTTCTAATTATTACATTCTTTGTTTTAGACAAAGAGTTCTAAATGCACATTAATTGGATTTTGATCATTTATTTAGTGAAAGCCCAGAAGTAAAACCATCAATTGAAAATGAGATGGAACAGCCCCAGAAATAATAATAAAATGTGGAATTATTCAATTAATATAAATTAATGAATGGCTTAAGATTTTGTTTGGATACTGAAAAAACAGTAGAATTTATAGAAATCCCCTTGATTTACATTAGTTTGTCATTGTCATTTTTTTCAGTTCCTTTTGATTTCTCTACCCCTTCCATGTTTTTGTGTGATACTAACACAGAAAGTTTGCAGAGCTTTTATATTAAAGGTACTATGTCCTATTTGCAGGCCAAAAAAAATGAAAAGATTAAATTTGAACAGCATTTGAAAAATAATATTAATTTAGAACTTCCCTGAAAAAAAGAGGGCTTGAAAATGTCTTTAAGTGGGAAAATAACGACAATTAGTTGTCGAATCGACTCGAGAGCTATAGAGCCAGTAAGTAATAGTCTGATTTTCAGACCATTGTACCGAATGGTCATACGTTTTATGCTGCGCAAAGGTTCAATCAGTTTAATTTTGGCCATTACAAGAAGTGGGTTATTGATGTAGAAAAATGCTCATGTACCCTTTACAGCTCATTTTATGTATGTAATTACCAAAGAAGAAAAAAAACCAGTCAGTCTCTCAATAGTGTCTGACAGTGAAGTCTAGCAAGTAAACAGGTTACCTTGCATAATTTGAATATTAGGACACTGCTAACGTTTAAATTTCACAGATAGGACATTAATGACATATTCATGATTCCTGCAAAGTTCTACAGAATTCGATGTTGGCTGCAAAAGAGACATAGTATCTTTAATGTATGTGTTCCAGTTTGATTATTATTAATTTGACATGTGTGTTATTTCACCCAAGTGAGACGTATATGAAGTATTGAAGTAGTATTTGGGGAAGAGAATGAATAATGATAAAGGACAACATGCTCTACATGAATTATTTTCATTTTGTGTAACCCGTCTTTTAATAAAAATGTAGTGGATTCTTTTTGTTAATTTACTATATTCAGTTTTTATACTATTTACACGGTGTCGGTACCATTTCTTTTTTTCTTAGCCTTATTATGAATTATTCATAAGCCATATAAACCTTATTGCTGACTGTGCTGTGATATTTTTTATATACTTAAAATAATGAGCAAATTATCAGTTGATTATCCCAATTATAAACATTAGTTTATGTCAAGCACACTAGAGTCTCAAAAATTCTTTTCCACTTTTCCCTTACTCATTATTTTTGTATTTCCTGCAAACATCTGCCAGATGACCTGTTACATAGTAGATCTAGATAAATACGTGTACATCGGAAGTTAATATATTCCCTTTTCATTTTTTTTATAAATCTGTCACTTTAGTAAATGTTCTTTAACTTCCCTCTACCTTTCTTACATTTACATGTGAATGTAATGTATGTGTTCACTGTATTATATTCATTTTGCTCTGTTGCCTATTTAATGGAATACTCTCTGGAAGGTGATATATATCATAAGCTGACCGTTCACTTTTCCTCCACAGCTAAACGCTAATTTACCAGGATTAGGCAGTTTATACATCTGCCTTCAAACCATGTGCTCGCATTCTAATGACATTTTCAGACACTCGTGAGCAGTGTTGTGTTTTAACAATGCTTAAAATAACTGGAAGTACAGGAATTTACAGTTTAGATCGCAGTGCTGTAAAGCCGGAATCCGCCAAGAAAAGGAGTTGGAAAGTACCCGCTGATTGAAGGCTTGCAAGTTTAAATTGGTTTGTTTCCCCCCACACGGTTGCAACTGGCCCCAGCATATAACTTTCTACCAATGTCTGGGACCCTATTGCATAAGACTTCATATACACCCGCCCTTGCATTCTGTTACAACTAGTTGTTCAGCTCCTGTAGATACATACCGGTGCCTCAAATTATGTCTCCTAGTCTATTTTTTTTTTTTATTGTAAACCGTGCTTGAAAGTTTCTTTCCCCCAAGATTTCTTTAACCCAACCATGAAATTAAAATGTCATGTCGGTTTTAGAGAATTCACTAAAATTTGAGTGACTATGGGAAGCACATTTACTTGTATATTTCTCCCGAAGGTCTGATCTATAAAAAAAACGTAATCCTACATCGCAGGCAAAACAAAGTAAAATAAATTTACATTCAATTTTAGTTATAGTTTTTCATGGTTGAAATAATGTTAAGGAGAAACGCAAAAGCTCAGATTAGAACACGATATCTGCTTGACGAAGTACAATGTTTATAGGCAAAGCGGTTTCTTCATCTTTTTATTGACAATGTCCATAAAATCGTAAGGAAGAAAATGCAAAATTCTTGTCCCAGTGGCATTTCATCAAATCGTGAGTATTTACTGATCGTGCATTAATGCCATGATTTCTGTACATAAGATGTTCTTGTACTAACATTTCAAGCAATAATAGAGGCTGAAAAGGGGCTAGGATGAGCATTTATCATGCCAATAGATTCTCTATATTTCAATATCATTTTTTTAGAAAAGATGGTTATTAATAATGATGTACAGGTCATCCTCATTATAATGTATATTTTGTCAAAGGGTGAAGTGCTTGGGTTATTTTTTTTTTTGTGGGGGGGGGGGGGGGCTATGTTTAGACAAGTTGCACTTACACCAACGCTTTCACCCATGCAGGAAATCTCAGAAGGAAAGTTGGAGACAATGATTTCATTATGATGAGGGTCATCTGTATTATTATGTCCATTATTCTGTACAAAATAAAAGAAAAAAAAGAGGCTAATTATGATTTTTTTTTTAAATACACACTTTGCTAATTCGGGGGTTCAATTTTTGGTAAGTAATTAGATTTGGTATTTTAGGGGAGATCGGGGACTGTTAAAAGGGATTTCCCTCAATTTTATATTTCGAGAAGAAACATTTGTCTTTTGGCCTTGCGTTCACATGCTTCCTTCTCTTTCTGGTTTGTAGGCTGAGGAACGCTTGGAGATGGTGGAGAGGCAACGCAAAATGGACGAGGAGCGCCAGGCGTTTGAGCGCGAGCAAAAGCGGCGTCACAAGGCCGAACAGGAGGTTATCCTGAACAAAAAGAGCAGTCGCCCTAAGCTGTCGTTTGGCTTCAAGAAGACAGATCCGCCAACGTGAGAGGGCGCCCTCCTGTGTTGATCCCCTGTACATGTTTTGAATGGAGGATGAAGTCAAAGACCAGCGGCTCTTGTGAGTAGTAACCAGTTCTGTGAATGCGTTCTTATCCAGGGTTTTGTAGTAGCTTAAATCTTTACACAATGTTTCCATATGAAAAGCATGTACATGTAGGTAGTGGTAAACAAAACAATAAACAACAACAAACAGGGTTGTATTACCAGTTGTAGGAATTTGACTGTTTATGGAATTATACAGACTTTTCCATGTTTACCTTATTATTATGAGAACTTGAGAAGTACACATGTTGCATGGAGAGATCTTAAGGTGTTATTTGGTTGGCTTTTAAGGGGGTTTGGGTGGAAGTTAATTCAGTACTTAAGTTGAATTTAAAGTATTTGTAGTCTTTTTTCCTGATTTGATTGGTTTCAAGCATTATGAGGGAATTCAGGAATTATTTTTTTACCAAATTTTTGTTTTTGTTCAGTATTTATTTTGTGGTATCACCGTTTATATATTCATAGTGAAACTAAATCAAAATGCATTTTTTATGCGGTCACTAATTACTTCTACATTTGCTCTCGTAACAAAAAAACACACTGAATGTCTTAAATTTGGACAATCTAATTCTTCTGAAGCTCAGTTTATCATAGGAATTATCAAATAAAAGGAGGGATGAAGACCACTAGTGCTTCAAAGTGTCATACATTGTTCAAATTGATAATGCTGATCATATTCATAACTTCCATGAAATTCCTTTGTATATTATTACTTGTAAAAGAAAAGAACACTTGTGCTGGAATTTTGCATTGCAATTTGCAAAAATACATGTTCACTTATGCAAATAAGTTGGTTTAAAGAATATATAAAAAGTAAGCCTCATTCAAACCTGACATTGTATTAAAACTGCCTAAATCCAACAACAGAGGCAAAAGCGACAAAACGCAGAAAGCATTTTACTCTTAAATGAATGGCAATGCCCAGGGAAAAATTTAATATTTATTTTTTGGGGGCTACTTTTCAAGCTTGCCTGCATGAAATGAACACTCTAAAATTGTTTTGCATTGAACTCTATGCAAATTTACAGGGGCTCTTTTCTGATTTTAGGGGGCTCTTTTGGGCATTTCGGGGGCTATTTCGCCCCGAGCCCCCATGTATTTTTTTCACTGAATGGCGAGGGTGGTAAAAAAAGAAAACAATAACAAGTGGCTGGGTGCAAAAAATGCCACTAAGCGCTCCAAATGATCTGTGTATTGTTACTATTGTAGGATACAATTAAATATAAACTTGAAACGCTAGAACGTTTTGTCAGTTTACATATTTGCTGCGGTGCTTTTTGGAGGCAGTGTACCACATCACGTTTGACTGGGGCTGTACATGCAGTGTATGACTATCCTCCCAAAGTCAGGTGACCACCCTCCCAAAGTCAGGTGACCTCTTTAGACACAATTATTATGGAGACTCTTTTTTATAATGTCAAGCATGAAGTTCATTAAAGAATTTTGAAGTTATGCTCTATGAATGCTAATATGTTCATGTAGCTTGATGCAACTTCTATTTAACTTCAAACCATTGATGATAAGATGAACTTGCAATGGAATAGTCATGTATTATATGATTTCTCAACCTAATAACCGTATTGATGTGTCACCAACATGTTTATCTAAGTTATATATAAAAGATGTTATATTATGCTTAATGTATCAAACCAAAGGGTGTTTTGTAGAGACAAAGCTCTACAAAACTCCCAATTGTTTAGGATATATTGTTAGAAAAAATGGGGTGGGGGAAGGGTAATGTAGTGGAGGGGGCAGGCTTATTTCTGATACATTTAACTGGCTACATGATCTTCTAAGCATATAATGCATGCAGCTGATGGTGAATTATCACGGAGAAAAGGCAAATTTTAGTCTTGGATTAATTGTTTGTTAACATTCATTGTGCTTTTTTAAATTTAGTTTCACTCCACAATCATGCAGATTATGTAGCCGTACTCTGGGAGTATAGCAAAATTCTCTTGAAAGAAATCTCTAGCAAAAAGCTTCCCAAAATCACATTTGTTGTAATTGGAAGAATAACAAAAGTATCTATTTCCATAAAAAGACAAGATTTAGATTGAGAGATAGTAAGATAATCCACAAGGGGAATACACAAATTTGTATGTGCATGTACATGTACCTTGTACAATGTAGTAAAATATACACCATTTAAACCTTGGTAATGATGATGCTTATATTCAGATGCAAGGTTGTATTTTGTTCTCTTATATTACACTCAGAATTTTGTTAAGTCTTAGTATAAAATAGGATAATAATTTACTGCAGAATATATATTCTCGACTGAAACTTGAATCTAAACTTGTTTAGATATTAATTTCTGTGAATATTACCATTTGAGTCGGGTCATGTTAACATTCTCCTTATCTTGCAATGGAGTTCTTTTCAATCAGGTATTAATTAAATATTTGAATGCTGCTATTTGATGTAATATTACCGATGTATCCTACAAACCATGAATGCTAAGAATATACTGTCAGCTACCGGCAAGAAGGCTGCTATTGCCAGTACATGTCTGTTAGGGCCTCCTTGTGGGAAACGGACGCTAAACTTGTGCCCTTTTTACACACAAGTACAAAACAATGAGAAACAAAGTTACCTCTGTTGGCATACTGTAGTAGAATCACACACTATATCTGATATATCATTCACTACTGTTTGTTTGTGTTAGGGTACATTTAGATCAAAAGGTATTTATGCGTGTTCACATCATTAGTAAGATTAGGAAATGTGTAATCTGTCTCCCATTATATCTCCTAGAGTCCTATACATGCATTGTACATAGTGATGTACAAATTGTACATAAAACCCAAATTTGATTGTTCTGAATTTTTCCTTTGATTTTTCCTCTGTGTTCTGTTTTTAATAGTATCGTAATTTTTCTATGTAAGGTAAAATTATTTTGCTAGCACTCTCTCTCTCTCTGTCTCTGTCTCTTTCTCTCTGTGTCCCTTTCTATATCTCTCTCCTCTCTCTCTCTCTCTCACTCTTCTTTTTCTCTACTTTCATTATTTGTATATACATGTACCTGCATTATGATCTCTGTGTAGTACGTCTCCTTTACTTGTTGCATGCATTTGAAGAGTTAAGATACCTATCTGAAATCACTACTTGAGCTTGTTAATTTCATCTGAGACGGTTCTTTTCAGGGACTACACTTGTAGTAGTTTTAAAAAGAGTGCATTGAACTGTTCCTTACTACAATAAATCAATGATTCCAACAAATTTTGTTTCTTCTGTTGTCCTGTTCGAGTGTGGTGAATGCCGAGAGGTTGATATGACATACCGGTATGCTCCAGTGACAATTAATCCCGGCTTTATTTTTCTCAAAAGTATAGGGTCATTGATAAGATTCCATGAGACCTGTTTACTCATCTTATGCATACTTTTTGACCAAAGTTTTTCTTAACAACTAAAATAAGATTGCTAGATGCTTGCCCGACATAGCAATAATGAATGAATGTAAAGTGGCTTCCATCCCTGGAAATGCCGTTATTCGTAGCAGGTGAATGAAGGGGCGGGTAACTAGGGGCTAAGGAGAGGAACATGCATGAATTAAAATGCATCAGTAAACAGATAGATGTATTGGGTATTACGGTAGAGTTAGTTATGTATAGGGTTGGGTCCGGGGTCAAAGCTAGGAGTTTGGTTAGTGTAGGAAAGTGACCTCTGAAAAATTGTTGCAGGAGAGGATGTCATACAAGAACTGTCCAGATTTGGACGCATTGATAAATGTTATGCGAGTGAATTAACCCACAACTTTGAGAATACCATCCCTGACCGATATGTATACAATTTTGGATTTTTAAAAAGGTTACACGGACACGGACTATCAACATGTCGATCAGGATTGACCCCTCTCCGCTCCAACTTGGTTGTATCCAGATAAAGATAATTGAAATTAAAAGGTACAATTAATGTACATGTGTGAGGGATAATATGCGTACTATCTAATAACGGCTCGAGATAGACAGAAAGTGTTAGTACATGATTTAGAATGTGAAAGATACAGGAGAGAGTGCTTGTATGCCGTTTGCTGATGGGGCTTCAAACTTGTTGGTCGAATTTAGATTTGAGATTTTTAAAATTGCCCATTTCCTTCTCTGACATATCAACTTCCGTCTACTCTTTTAGATTTTTTTTTTTTTTTTTGGGGGGGGGGGGGGGAGGGGAGAGATGGGTTCCAAATTATTAACTTCTATCAGCATTCCCATCTGTTCTCATTCTCTCTACATCTTTACACTGTCTCAGAGACATTCAGTCACACAGTAACATAAACTTCCAGTTTTAGAGAGGGTAAAAAATGCATTAGTTGCTGATTTCTCATTAATGCCCTTTTTTCCCCTCCCCTCCCCTCCCCTGCTCTCTCTCTCTCTCTCTCTCTCTCTCTCTCTCTCTCTCTCTCTCTCTCTCTCTCTCTCTTCCTCCTTCCTTCCCTCTCTGTCTCACTCTCTCTTACTCCTCCCTCTTTTTCTCTAAATTTCTAACGGAATGCATTTTTCCCCAGAGAAAATTGAAAAAAAAGTTTCAAGAGTCAGTTTGTATGTTTGAATTTATATCTCATTCATATTTTCCACTTATTTTTCAAAAATAAAACCATGAGAAATCGATTACATTCTTAATGTAATCCACATACATGTTCTAATGTACTAATACATGATACATGTACTAACACATGATAATCAAATGGTTTTAAGAAAAGTCTTATTATTCATTAACAGCCAAATCCTGCAATAAAAACTGGCGGTGCCCCAACAATTAAAAATAGATAATAATTGGTTTAAGTGCCTTAAAATTGATAAAATCAACTTTAAGGCTTGATGAAACTCCCCATCCTACATAAGAAAGAGTAGGAAATATAGAAAAGAATATGATAGTTCATTAAAGGATTGTTCCAACACTACAGAACCTACCCCACATATTATAAGGAGTTTTTTTTTAAAAAGGTAAACATGTTAAATAAGTTGTTTTCCGGTGTTTTATCAATAATTTTATGCCACATATGATCATTTGTGTCACAATACTTTCCTGATATCAAAGCAGAATCTTTTACAATATTGAGAATCCTTTCAAGTATTGCGACTTGGCATGCAAGATGAATCCATAATTTGTTACGATTCATCGTCCATTATTAATAGTTAGAGCACGAATGCTATTTCTCTCTCAATAACTGCTCATGACTGACAACTTCTCGAATAGCGATTAAAAAGTTAATCCCATCTGTTTATAAGCATACAAAATGAATTTGTAGAGACTTAAATGAAAATGAACCAGTATATATAAACACAAAAGCACATTTCTCTCTCAATAACTGCTCATCAATGATCAATAACTGCTCATTAATGATCAACAATGCCCGGTTAATCACATATTTAACAAATTGTTTTAAAAAACCTCAAATAGTGAGATTGTTGCATCTCTTTGCAAGTAATCAAAATTAAAATTCATTACAATGATATGGGATGATTGAATTTAAGTTCTCAGTAAATACGAAGGCAAGAAAATGTATAAGTTCACGTGTGTATAATTAGAAGCTAAAAATTGGAATAAACTAGGCAGATAGGGATATGAATGCATCCTTCACAAAGTTGCAATTTGCGTATCTCTTATGGAACAGAGTTATAATTGATACCAAATCCAAGTTGACAATGCCCCTTTTTTACAACAGGCCCTGGCATAGTTTTCCTGGGCATGTACATTTGACTTGGTGCGCAAGACTATCACAGATGAAAATTATAATGTAATCGTTTAGATTATTTGCAACAAACGAGATTTAGAATGCTAATGTTATACTGGTACTGTAGAAAGTTGCAGATAATGCACATGAATTATAAAGTTTATCAATAAAATATGACTGTCCTCTAAATGCATGTACATAGTACATAATATTCGTTGGAAAAATGAAGACATAAATATCAGAAAATGAAAGGAAAATTTGTCATCGTGTAAGTGCTAATTATCTAAATCAAGTTAGTGAGTTTTTTTATTTTGCAAAATAGATTTTGCCAGATACCAAAATGTTCACAATTTGCATTGTCAGTATTATGGTAAGCAGTATACAGTGAAATATAAACAATTAATGTGAAAGAAAAATACTTGTACCTAAATCTTTAACCATTAATAGCTTCGAAAAGAAAATATACATCTCATATTTAAATTAATCGTAAAATATAAGATTTAGAAAATAAAACATTGTAACTGTTACTAAATACATTTAAAAATGAAATGGAAGAATACTTTTTTTTGGGGGGGGGGGAATTTACATATCTAAGTAAAATACGGTAGCTAATATACCTTGCCAATAGGTTGATGAGTTAATCTTTGGTAATATAATATATTTATATTTTACACCTATGTAACATAACATGAAATAATAGGCCAGTACTAATAAAGGCATATCAACTGTAATCCAGGTTTAAGTCAGACGAAGCAGGAGCATTCATCCATTGATCTATTATGGAGTGCCAATTGTCAACCTCTTTATCATGTCAAATTTTCATAATTCTGTAACTAAATGAAGAAAAAAAGAAAGAAGGCATGTCACACCCATTCATTCTGTTACACAATTATAGTAATTTGAAAAGAATTAGGACTGACACTTTGCACTCCATACATCATTGGACCGACTTAAAGTGAGTAATATAACCTGCATATACAGTAGGATTATAACCCTTTATAATTTATCTTCCTCACACAGTGTTACAATATATGTCTACTGATGCCTTTCTACTACTAACTTGAATATTTAACATAACAGGAGGTTTAATATGACCTTACAATACCTATATGGTGGAAACAATGATATGGAAATACAAATAATGCTGACATCATGCATTAAATGCGAATTATTCATATAACTAGCAGAGAAATATCATACCCTGTGTATTGCATTGATATCATTATTCCATTACATAGTAACTAAATGATAACACCCAATAAAAATGATAGTTTGCCATTGCCTGAAACCAAAAGGTGATTATTTGCTTTATATTCCACATCAGAAACATTTCACTTCTTCCGTCATTTTAGAGCAAAAAGTCATCAAGTAACAGCTAGCTCTGATTCGGGCGAGAGAAAAAAAAGTTTGTGATTTTAATAACATAAGACATTCATCTTACACCAAAATGGACAACAACAAATCATTTTAATATCCAGGGGGGTGTTTCACAAAATTTGTCATCAGTAACAAATGACAATTTTTTTTATAAGCTACTGAAATCCTTGCTTCTGATTGGTTATGAACAGATTTGTCACTGATTTTTGTCATTTGTCATTGAAAAAAGGCTTTGTGAAACGGGTCCCAGATGTTCTTTGAGCTGCCTTATAATGAGTGTATGAATGATAGAAGCTCATACAAAAACTCTATTTTCATTGAATTATTTCCTCACCTAACATAGAGAAGCAAATATCAATTAAATCTGAAGAAATAGAAGCATGGTTGCATGTACATACATGTGCATGGACTTAGTGTTACCGACTATGCACAGTCGCATACATTTCTATTTTTCATACCATCTTTGACATGATACACGTGTTTGAATCAAAATCAAAATCACTTCAAGATAAATAAAGAATGGAGAACGGCAAAAACAGATATAAAAGCAAAAATTTTACATGATGAAATGTATTTCCATAACACGACTGCTTTGGTCTTCTTCGTGAGTAATTAATATGCATCTCTCTTGCTTGAAAGACTAGCCATCACAAACTTTCCATGTTGGTTGCCCAAAGACGGTGTTGGTTGCCCAAAGACGGTGTTGGCTGCCCATAGACGATGTTGGTTGCCCAAAGACGATGTTGGTTGTCCATAGATGATGTTGGTTGTCCATAGATGATGTAGTCTCTCTTGACGAGCAGGCATGTGGCATCTGCATACCGGTACCTTCAATCTCACTTCTTATGACAACTACTGGTTGAAGGATCCTTCCAAACTCATCTGTTCAGAGCCAAAAGGGCATTAGCTCTGTGTTAAAGTATAAGAGGTAACTCCCTTCTGGCTCCAAACGGATAAAAATGTTACCATTATAACGCAGCAAGCTTCAGCAACAAATGCAGACATGCATGTACTAAACCTTTTCGCCTTGTACTCATTACAGTAAATCACAGTAAAATCGCAAGAATGAACAGAAAGCCAAAATCGGACAATATAAACGGAAGCTGAAGGAACAAAGCACTCAACAACACAAAAAATAGTAATGGTATGATGCTGCAGAAAACAAACTTCATGGCCACCTTTGGGTTAGTCTTAGTATTGGATTTTGCTGTCTTGGCTTGGCTTTATTATCAGACTGATGATTTGTGAGAACTTTGTCTTTTCATAATCAGCAATTTTCAATTCAGTTTGATTGTCATCCCGAGCTTCTATGCAGATTAAAATTTATAGGATCTCATCCTACTTTCAGTCCTTATATCTATTCTGTCCAAAGCGTGGATGATAGGACTAGAGTTTCATTGAGAAACATGAGGCAAGATTCAATGCGAAGCCAGCTGTTCACTAGGAGACAATGACGGTGAGGGTATCTTGGTTCTATAGCGATCATCCTCCTGCGGAACTCTCTTTGGTCTTCTTCCGCTTCCACTTCTTCCTCCTTGTCCTCCTCTTCCTCCTCCTCCTCCTCATCGTCGTCTCTAACAACAAGGCTCGCCTGCCCAAGACCATACTTGTATTCCTCTTCGCTATCCCCTTCGTAGTCGACGTCGTCTTCGATGTCCCAGTAGGACGCACTGGGGCTACCATGCCTAGGACTGCTGGGAGGTGAGATGGCGTTCTGGAGAGACCGCTTGCCATCTTGGAACATGCGATTCTGAATAAAGCAAAAGAAACGACAGAATGGACTTTGTTCAAAGGACTGCTTGTGATGCAAGTCTGTGACAAAAGATAGACTACCTCCATCTAGGGGGTGTTTCACACAGCCTTTTTTCAATAACAAATGACAAATATTAGTGACAAATCTGCTGATAACCAATCAGAAGCAAGGATTTCAGTGGCTTATAACACAAACTGCCATTTGTCACTGATGACAAGTTTTGTGAAACAGGTCCCTGGGCACCTTACATTTTGCCTGAAATTGACAGAACTTTATATCATATAAACCTTACGGTTGATCTGATCTGATTCCTCATATTCTAAGAGATTAAGTATGCAGAAAATCCATCAAAATATGAGCATGAACAATTTTACTTTCATAAGTAAAGACGGCAGTGTCATTTTGACATTGCAAAACAAACCAAGGTTCTCATGTCTGCGCACTCATTAATGTGACACATAGTTCCAGGTTTTTGAAGTGTCTCTAGCCTAGGAATGAAGCCTTAAACTTTATTTTGCATGCTAGGGTTTCACATCTGTTACGTAGCACCTGACAGCTGTAGAGCAAATCTTAGAAAGCCCTCATTTTACAGTCTGTTCCATTTAACAATTCATTTTAAAAGACTTTACAAGAAACATCTTTTCTCTCTTTATAATGCATAATTTATTTTAGACTTCATCTCTCATACTGAAATGCAAGGCAGTCCCGCCTTTAAAGAAGACATAAAACTGCATCATATTTGAACGAGTCTGAAGGAGAGGGGGGGGGGGGGGGAGGGGAGAGAGAGGACTCCAAACACTGGTTTTAAATTTCTACTCACCAGAGGACCATTCTGACCAAACAGGTCCAGAAAGTTTCCAATCATCTCTCGAGACTTCTCCTCCCACTTCTGAAGAAAGTTGATACTCCTGTCTTCCATCTTATGAACGAATTCCTTGGATCTCCTCTCCACTCTCCTCACTCTCTGTCGGACCTTGTCAACGCTGTCTTGAACTTTGAACTTGGTTTCCTGTATTAGAAGTAGAGGACAGTAAGCAACGTATACAAGAAAGTGCGTTGCACTGTGTAGATAGTAGTACTATCTACACAGTGTAACAAACTTCTCTTCTTCATCACATGATTTACTTTTGACCAATCGTAGAGCAAGATTCTTAGTATGTGGAATATAATGTATCAAACATACAATGATTGCCTTAGAAGGGCAAGGTTAAAGGTCATGTATAGGTTTGGCAAGCTATGGCTGTTTCCTAGATATCCTAGCAGACATTTACACTATTATTTACCAGAAATCACGGATGGAATATCAGATGGTCTCTCACACGCGAATCTTTTGATGAAAGGAATACGACATGAGACTATACTATAGTCTGCAACCCAAGACATCTCAGGCTTACGAATCCAACAGGTCAGTGAAGGGAAAGTAGAAGAAGTATAACTCACATTAAACAAGCCAACATTAAGATCCCTGGCTGAATACCCTCTCGACAGGTTCCGTCTGACGTAGATATCGTAATCTCTGACGAGCCTTGCGATGATGTCCGATGTGGATACGCCCTCCGTCCTTTTAGTGGCGACAAATTTACCAGCCGCTTTGATGTCTTTGTAGACGTCCTCTGTGCCTGAAGCTCCGTAAGGCACATCGTCGTGTGCTACAAAGTCAATCTGGGGGTAAAATAATCGTGAGTTGAAAGGTCAAAGCTGAATTGAAAATATTAGCACTTGTGTGTATCTTTGCAAAGTGGCAAAAACATTTACAAACCTTTTGGCCCAAATTCACAAAGGAGGTTTGTCGACAAACCTAGGTTTATGTGCATCTTATGACGGGTTTTGACAGGTTTTTACAAACCACCTTTGTGAATTCGGGCCATGAAGTATGATAATGATGGTGATGAAAATAACATTGTTACGAATCTTACACAGGTTCATGAACATTTTTTAATTGATGCACATGAGCAGATTGGGCAGGTTAAAGAAAGATTCATTAAAGGGAAAGTCCACCCCCAAAATAAGTTTGTTTCGATAGAGGCAGAATAATAAGAAAATCAGGTGAGTGAAAGTTTGAGCAAATTCTGAATGAAAATAAGAAAGTTATGAATTATTGAAGTTGTGATCAATCAAATACAAATTGGCAACTCTGTGACTTATTATACGAGCTCTCCTTCATTTGCTTTGTGCATAATATTCCATAAAATCATGTTTTCTTCATTATTGATGACGGAATATATATTTTTTCCTTGCAGGGGGAGTATAGAAACATATTTGCAATTATTATATTTAGGGTGCATGTATGGTTGAAATTTTTCTTGAGGGAAAATGAAAATTTTAGATTTTTTTTAAATGGAAGTTGAGCTCGCATGATACGTCATAGAGTTGCCAATTTGTGTTTGATTGATCACAACTTCAAAAATCCTAACTTCCTTATTTTTAATCGGAATTTGCTCAAACTTTCACTGACTTGTTTCTCTCATTTTTCTACTCCTATTAAAACTAACTTAATTTCAGGGTGGACTTCCCCTTTAAAAAACAACCAGTCATGGTCACAGGTAAAACTTGGTTTTGTTTGTTTAATAATGTTGCTCCTTTTCATGTGTTCTAAGGAGCAGGAGGGTTCAATCAAATAATTAAATAATCTACTTGATGTGATAACGTAATGACAATAATGATACCAAATTAACTTTTTTTAAATAAAAAAATAAATAAGAATGATAATAGTCACATTTGTATAGCACTTTATCTATTAATATCGTGGTCATTAGATTCAATAACTAATCCGTACATGAGAGTGCACACGTACAGTATGTATCTCTTTATCCATTTGTTTTGATTATGTATGTATGTTTTCCTATTGTAATAAATTTAAATTTAAGCAAATCTCAGTAGAGGTGTCATCCTCATGGATATGTCACCGGACTGTGGATCGGATCACAAGGTCCGCGGTTCAAGTCTTATCGCGGCACTAATGTCCTTTGGCAAGATATTGATCTATGTTTGCTGCTCTCCATCAAGGTGTTAAATGGGCACCCGGTAGGATGCGAAAGCAAATGTGCTTAGATTAGCAAGTGTGCGCTTGTAAACATGATGCCTGGCTGGAATACTCCCCACGGAGTGGAGAATGTGCATACATTGTGTGCCGGTATGCCTGAATCCGATGACCGGGGTAATAATATGATTGTAGGGCCCTCAGGGAGAACAGTATGAATACTGATGAGGCTACACTGGGTAAAAAAGACATATTATTATTATTATTATTATTATTATTTTTATTATTATTATTATTATTATAATCTCCATACACGGACAATAAATAAACAACATCTCACCTTGTGTTTCTCCAGGAATTCTGGTGTGACGGACCACGGGGCATCCCGAACGATTTCATCTACATATCTGTTGTGTCGGACCCCTTCATACCTTTCCCACTCATTCATAACCGTGTTGCCTTTGTTTCTGTGAGTCAGCTCGTCGTTGCAAACTAGAGGGGAAAAAAGGGTAATAATGTGTAAGCCAATATTTTGGCAAACAAGATATTTTCCAGGAGCAAGGGTTTCAATAGTAATAAATTTGTGAGTTGTTAAATTTGCGTAAAGCCACAACTACTACAAATGATATACTTGCAATAATAATCATTCTATTTTTGTGGATCCTGAGCTCATTACTGAGTATCACAATCATCATATTGTACATTGAAGGTATTATGAGGTAACTTTGCCTCTGATTCTAAACGAAATCCTGGATTTAGCTCATGCTGCAATCATAATTACCTTTAGGTTAGAAATGAATCCCATGAATTTTACAAGCCAATCGCATGTTTGATTATCAAGATATTTATGATTGGAATTCAAAATTTCAGAAACCGTTTTCCCGATGGTCTTGAACAGCTTTTATAACACTACAGTCTATTGGGGGAAATGATTACCGGTATGGTAAAACCCGTCACTCAAAGATATTTACTTTTTTGAAGTGCTTCATGATTATTTGAAGCATAATTTTGTTTGTGCTTCAATATTTAACACCATATTACAGGCACTAATAACATGTGGGGTCATGCATCTCAGATTTGTGAACTTGAAACATTGTTAAACAATGCCTTTAAGAATTACTTTAGGAGAAAAGAAAATTATATATTGAAGTGCCCCATTATGGACTCAACTGTGTGGCATGACCCGGTGACAGATTGTGCTATACTGTACCGATGCTTACATTTAACTTATATCCTGCCATAAGGTTATAGTGCTTTGTACACGCGAGCATGCTATCGATTGGCTGCTTAATTCACACAAGCGAGCCACAGCTTAGCTGCTTTATGCATGCATGCTCGCATTCGTAATAGCAGTTATTGTTCATGCTCATTGTACTATGCTGAGTGCTTCGCACCATCAGATTATCAGATTATCGTAATATAAACTTGGCACAGGGGGATTTGAGGCTTGGCACAATGGGGATTAGTCCTGTGGCATTAGGCTGTATTCATTATGGCAGGATAAAAGTTAATGATTCACAGAATTTGCGAAAATGCAACCCCTAAAAAATAACTGTTTATAGAGTATAGTATCTTACCTCCTACTATGAGGTATGTATTAGGGAAGGCGTTTTTAGCTTGCATGAGCACCCTTGCGTGCCCCGCATGGAAGAGATCGAAAATACCGTCAGCATACACTCGAACAGGACGATCTGTAGGGAGAAAAAGAGAGAGAGAGAGGGGGGAAGGGGGGGGGGGGTAAAGAAGGAGGGGGTGGGGAGAGAGGTGAGAGGGAGGGGTAGGGAGAGAGGTGAGAGGGGTAGGAGAGAGGGAAAGGGAGAGAAAAGAGAGAGGCAAGTAGAGAATAAGAGATGGGGGAGAGGTGTTGGAGGGAGAGAAAGAGAGAGGGAAAGAGAGAAGGAGAGGGAGAGAGAGAGAAAGAGGGAGAGAAGGGGGTAGACATTGAGGGAGAGAGAAAGAGGGAGAGAGGGGGTAGATAGTGAGAGAGGGGGTACAGAGACAACAGAGTGAGAGGGTCGAGAGGGGAGAGAAGGAAGAGAGAGAGTTAGAGAGAGAGAGAGGGCAAGGGGGATAGAGAGTGAAAGAGAGAACAAATTAATGATCAACAGTTGCTGAGAACCACTTCAGATATACATGCACATCCGTATTTTTCAATAGTGACTAGTGTAAAATCCCATCTCAGTCACTTCTGCTCTGACATTAATTATTCTGGCTACACTTTATATCATGAGATGTACTTGAGGACAGCACAAGACATTACCAGTTCAATGGAGACTGGTGTAAAAACCCATCTCTGTTTCTTTTGCTTTGATTCTCATGAATGTAGCTGCACTTGCAGAGCTTAAAGATAAAGACCAGTTATGGTCATGCAATTGCATTGTGAAAGAAATGTTGTGGAATAGATCAGAAAAGGTTGATCATAGCATATAAGTATTGGTGTGTACTGCAAGGTTCTGGAATCATCAAAATGATAAGAAATTTGGCCCAGTCTTGGTAAAGTTACAAGCACTGTACACAGAAAGATGTATATGGGACTACGCACACGTGATATCTATCAGGTCCAAATAGATATAATAATTTACCACATATATCAATTAGTAGGCGGTTTCTCAGCAAAATTTGTATGATCACGTATTATTCAAAACATATTCTTTCACATGATTGGTAATAAGAGCTTCCATTTCATTTTTTGAGAGGAGGACATTTCCAAAACTGGTCTTTACCTTTAATCTACGGTAGATCTATGTACTTACGTACTGCACCAGACTTTGCTTGTTCAAGGGTGACTGGTGTAAAATCCCATCTCTGTTTCTCCTGCTCTGATCCAAAGGACCCATCTAGTACAGCAGGTTTGGCAAGACCCTGCAATAAAAAAAAAATATGGAAAAAAAAAACATGTACTGTTTGTTACTAATGTACAGATAGATTTTCTTGTATTATGCGCCTTGTATATTTTTCTTCATTATAAATAATAATAGTGTGTTCTTGTAAAGCACTCATGTCTGTCATGATTGACACTCCTGGTGCTCCACTGTCTATTTACATGTACATGTATATTAGAGGCATTTACTGTGCAAGCAAAAATCATTGGTGTTTCTCACATTCTGGAGTTTTGTTGAAAGTTGCTAGGCAACCACCCACAAACACTACCCCCAAAAAATCCCCAATTTTTTTTTTCCTGCTGACCAAAATTCTGTTGTTTTTTTGTTGCCAGTACCCTCACTAACCCCAAACAATCCATATGGGGGGGGGGGGGGGGAGGTTCAGAAAGAGAAGAAAAAGAGTAAATTTTCCCAAATACCAACTACCGGGTACCTTTTCCATTGTCCATTTGCCCGAAGGTCTACATTTAATAATCTTTCATCAGTAGAAATTAAGGCATACATGTAACTACATTTTCTCATTCTTAGTCCTATTGATACTGTGTGGCCTGTTTTAACAGGAAGTTCATATGTAACAGCAAAATCCTGGCAAATTTGGTAGTACAAATAGAGCGCCACTTACGTTGGCTTGTTTTCAGCTATATATACGCAGTGGGAAAATTCTGTTATTAGGCCTTGATATAATTATATAGAATAGGTATCAAAATAAAGTGGAATTAATAATAATATGGGTGTGCTCTTGCTTATTCTTCTACCAGGTACCCACAACACTGAGTGGAGAGAAACAATTGTAGAAAAAATATCTTCCTTAAAGAGAAGGTTCATTGATTTAAAAAACTAACTTTAATGTCATAATTGCAAAGGTGACACTTTGATTGGCCAAGGTTATCAAAAGCCAGTGCTTGGAAACATTCGAAGTAATGATTATTAACAATTACAAAATGCATAGATACAGCCCCGACATAGCACCTGAAAAGCTCCCTGGACGCTGCTGAGATATGATGTCACATGTTGAACATGATGTGCACAAGCAGACGATGTCCCATGACATCTCACACAATTTCAGTGCCTGTTTTGTTATCTTTTCTTCAGTTATTTCTCTTACTTCAATACCTTCAGGCAAAATGTTTAATCTATTGCCTCACTCTTAACCCCGTGCATGGTATTATTTTGATGAAAAAATGCAAGGATTAAAAAAAAAAGAATCCGTCGCTTGTAAACAAAATAAGACGCCATTGTATTTTCAGCTGCATACACCGCGGCAGGTTTGGCGTTTCAAGAGGGAACAATAATGACGTCCAGCTATCATTCCGGAGGTTTTTTAATTTGAAAGTGGGGTTTCTTTGATCGTTCATTAACCCATATCCTGTGTATTTACAAACAAAAGAATTTAGTTATCAGAATGGGGGTCATATCCCTTTTTGAATGGTGTAAAATTCCATCACATTTATATACACTAAACTCATTATAATTTGAGAAATATAAGCATTGCAATTATGTTCATTCTTTATGGGATGTCGTCTGCTTGGGCAGGGTTGGTTCATATTGTGACGGCATGAAAACTTTTTTTTTCCGGCGAATCTCTCGCATATCCCAGATGCTATGGAGGTTGTTTTATTTGTATTTTTATAAACCACCCGATATGTAGTTGACCTAAAACTTGCATAATAGTCATCTTATAGCTTATTTGCCGTATTTGTGATTTTCTATGAACCCGCACTTTAAGAACATGAATGCCATGCCAGGCTCAAAACCCATGACCTTTGCATTTCCAAGCAAGTGAAGTGATCGACAGTTTCACACGTAGGCCTACCATCATCAATTAAAAAAGAACAAAGTCTTATTGTGCCTGTTATAAAGAAGGCCTATTTTCTTTTTAATCCACATTTCCTTCTCAAAGTTGAAGGATCAAAAAGCAACCCCTAATGGTAATTTCCTACAAACCCCCCCCCCCCCCCCCCCCCCCCCCATTCTAATGAATCATAGAATTTATTTTTATCACAAATTGCGATACATGTCCATTTTCTTAGTTCGATATTTTGCATGGTGTAGTATAATAGAGGCCATATGTTCATGCACAAAAATGCTATTGAAGAATGTATGTGACAATTAACTTAAAGTACCGTGGTACAGCGATACATAACATGTACATGTACATGTATGCAAATGCATATCAGAAGGCCTGACATGTACATGTATGTGTGCAAATATTCATCGTAACATGAACGTAGGCCTAAATTTTCTTTGACACTGTATTATGTGTATACGTACATGTACCTGTACACATATCGCACAAATGTTTATGTACATACAGGTACATGTACCATATGTAATGTATGTACATACCACTGAAGGAAGTGCATGTACATGTACATATTCACAATATAAATGTATCAGCATGCATGTACAAAGGATCAATCAAGATTACATTTCAATATAACATTTTTTGCTGGTAGTCGTCAAGTAAATTTTTCTTGTATTCCCACAGCTGTTGAGAAATAGGACCAGTACATGTATATGAAATTCATAAAGAAAAGTTTTATAAAGAATCATTGTATAGCGAAAGACTAGAAAACAACATTGATGAAATTAAGTCATAAAGAAAAGAATGTTAAAAGGTAAATTGACATATTATAGCTGGCAAGTCATTTCTCGTACATGTGTACAGTAGCTACACATAAATCCTAGTAGTTTGAACACAGGATAAGATTTCTCAGACAATATAGTTAAAACTCACGCTTCCAAAATCGGGAATGGGAGGCACGTCCTTGACTGTTTTTCCACAGAACTGCAGACTGTGTTCCGAGCATGTCGACCATGCCGAATCCTCTTCAGATGAGATCGAGTCTGAACGTGCCTTCCTTGCACCTTCAATATCAATACCACCATCTGCCATTCTGGAACACAGTTTCAATACACTATGTCCACACTCGCATACAAAATCGTCCAAAGCAGTGCTATCTAAACTGAGCAAAGCATAAAATGTCACTTCCAAATTGAGAGACCTCGACCACAAGAGTCCTTGTGTTAGAAACCAATTTCCTTTCCACAAACCACATTGAGGTATTCAGTAAGCCTAGTATTCAGCCTATATGGAAACTAATAAAGTGAAGTCGTGTCACCTGATCTGGTGATTATTTTAGCTCAGAAATCAGACCAGAGAGAAATCACTAGACCAGAGGAAAATCGCCTCCCTGGAAATTGCCTTTTGTCTGCATACAGACAATCAGTCCAAATAGTAGCATAAACAGGGTACCCTTAAATCCTACAGCCCGTTGTTTAGCACTGGGCTCATTGACGCATGAATGACTGTCAACAATATCTGTCTGGACACCGATCAGAAAAGCAAGAATGTAGTAAGCTTTTAAAAACCAACAACTTCTATACATGATCAGTAAGACGATATAGTATAGCGTTTGAGAGCTCTAGATACACAGACACACTGAGGCATCTACACGTACGCGAGATGGGTCATAAAGTAAATAATGTTGTTCCAAAGAACCATTCTTCCAATGTACAAGTTCTATGAGAGGAATTGCTGTATTTTGGAGCTTCATGAAATGCCTAACCAATCAGAAACAACTTCCGGTGACGGATGTGTCTCTCTTTCAAGTATAGCTATGGGTGAAACCATACACAAATTATAATTTGTCCACATCTACGCAAATATATCCATGCAAATAATGAACACATTCATGTACCAAAAACATCTGAGCATTTCCCTAACACTGGAGCTGGTATCAATTTTGAAATCCCAGGGTAGATCAACACTTTTCATCAATGCTCAACATCAGTAACCAAAGAATATCTGCATCAACGTGTACAGTGTATGCAAATCCCATAACAACCAATTAAGATGTATGCAACTGAACAGTTCACGAATATACAGCGTTCCACTGCAGCAGGCATCCAATAAAAAGACCCAAGGTAAAATCAACAATAATCTCCTTTCATACTCAGGAAGACTGGTCAGCGACCACTGAATAGCAACGATTTTACTCCGACAAAGATGCGAATCCCATAACAATGAACACACCCAATCGTTCATCCACGCAACAGAGAGATATGCACCGATGCCGGCCTCTAATGGATGCAGCCACACATCTCAACCGCTGATCTTCTCATTGTGATCAATGATGCTGTGAGCTGAGGAGTGAGACAAGTCACTTAGCCTACGCTCAAGACTTTGGGATTACATGTGTACTGAAATGACTTTGTAGCTTCTGTTCAATAGGGATTTTTAGACTCGCACAAAGACAATGTGGATTGCTACGGTCGACGTCCTTTTATGACGTCACACGTATATCAGTCCACGCAAATCTAAAAGTCCCTATTGTCTGCCTGATGACTTGCATGCCTGGTTGCCTGACTTAGCAACCAGGCATGCAGTCAGGCAGCGTATGTACAGTATTGGAATGACTTTGTAGCTTTTGTTTGATGTCTGCCTGACTGCATGCCTGGTTGCCTGACATAGCAACCAGGCATGCAGTCAGGTGGTAGATTGCTTTACCTATTATTCATGTGATGCAAATGTTTTGTACTCATGCTCTTAATATGTGTCTGGATCAACATGCCAGAAGAAACTTCAAGAAAGAATTAAAGGGTGCCTCAAGTATTAGACTAGGACCTGCAGAGATGAGATGTACATGTACCAGTAGGGAGTGGCAAGATTGCCAATACCGGTAGATAGAGTCTCAAGTAAACATGTTAGCCTGCGTCTTATAATTCTGGTTTAACTACACATTTAAGGAGGGGGGACATCAATATTCATGACTGAAATTTTAACTTGATGTGTTTGTGGGTTTGCATTTTAGATATTTGACTAAAAAATTATGTTTACCGGTATCTAGGGACAGACCAAAGAATTACTTGAATTCATACCCGTGTACTTTTTAAAGTAGATAAGATTGCTGATCAATAGAGAATATTTCATCTTCTTCATCATTTGATAGTATTGTCGAATAGTTTTTAAAGTGCCATTCAAAACTGTTCTTTTCATTTGAACAGTTGCTCCTGATTTTATCAACTAACACACTTATCCCTTTTTTATCTTAACAAATTCCCATAATTAGCATGGAAGTAAGACTACACAGAGTCTGCAACACTGTAATAAATACTAGCACATGAGTACAGGACACAAAATATACATTACCACATACAAGCAACACGTATGTACATACATACAGTACCGGTATGTACAATTGTACACATACATTGTACATTAATGAATGAATGAGCTCCTTGCATTGTAAATGTACCTTGTGGCTTCTGGTAGCAATCACTTACATGTACATGTACATGTAACCCTTACTCAGTCTTAGCTCAAAATATAGATGATTTTGAGATAAGATATCAACTTCACATTTATTTTTGCTGGTACATGTACAATGACAAACAATGCAAACTGGCAAATTTTGTTCCCATTGTTTGTTCATAGTTTGTTGACATTGTTTTCAGTGGCAGTAGAATCTATATATGCAATATTTTTTCCATTTCCCATTGATTCAGTGCTCCAATAATGCAGTAAAAATTCATAACACAAGATTGTGTCATTGTGGTAACATTTCAAAATACAGACCAACAAGGGATCATAAAAGATGCTTTAAAAATTTACCAATGGACTATTTAAAGAGCTTTGGGAAAAAACAAGTAGAAGAATGACATGCCCTAAAAATATGTCACGTTTACTTCAAGAGCGGTCTGAGACAATATTGATTTTTGCCATGTGTGGCAATTGATTAAATGATTTCACTTTGTTCAAATGAAACCACTGCTATTGACTTGGGCTTCATTTCATCAACAATACAGGGTTAGAGTTGGGGTTAGAGTTTGGATTGACTTCTAGGCAAGGGCTAGGTTTAGGGTTAGGGTTAGGTATACAGTGTTTGGTTCAGGGTTGCAGTTTAGTTTAGTGAGTAGGAAATTGAGCATGAAACGAGTGTCTCAGGTGCATTGAAATTTACCTACCGAGTAAAAGAGCTATGGAAAAAACATTCACATTTTACCTCGAGAGCTGTCACAAACGATATTGATTTTGACCTTGGTGGCAATTGATTGAATGATTTCACCACTGATATCAACAGTTTGCTATTAAAGAGCTCATCTTTTACTAGCATCTTAGATTGTCAACATCTTGCAATAACTAAATTCTTAAACTACAGAACAACCCCTGACCAAACACTACACCTAAACCTAATCCTTAACCTGACACAAAACTCTAACCCTATAACCTATCTACAAAACCCAAAGCAATTTTCACTTGACCAACTGTCGGAGCTTGACCGTTATACATACCTGGCCTAATTTGATTCTCTTTGCACCGCTTCCATTGACATCGTTAGTGCTGCCTACCTCATCTAGATCATCTAGTTCATCACCCGATGACCTTAACTTACGTTTGGCGGCCATGTTGGATGCCGACTGGAGTTGCAAATCCTAGATACTTTTGATGTTACAGAATGCTCAATTTTGTCAGAGACAAAGTGTCAAATTTCTGTGGATGAATAAAAGAGAGTGACAGATTCATGACATCAGAAACATCCTCAAATTAAAAAAATTAAAAAAATCTTAACATCTTATAAAATCACATGCACACAGGCCCAAATTTTCAGAAGCTGCTGACTCATTGCCCATTTGAAAAGGGTAGCTCCTCTATTAGGGTATGACGGAATTAAAGTTAAACCTGGCTTGAACGTCTTCCACTGGTTGCCAGAGCTAAAGCCCGAGCTAAAGCCGGAGCTAAAGTTATGATAGACGCTATAGATCATACAAGCACAGCATATTGAAAGGCCAAGGGCTACCCCTAATAATTCCATCTAAATTACTGCAATTAATTATTGAAATGAAGAAACAAACTTCATACAGCATACCGCAAGCTTCAGTGAATCAAATAGCAGCTGTTATGAAATGTGTCATCATCGTCACGAAACCATGCAGGAATGCATCGACTCGATTGATCAGACTTTGTTTTAAAGAGAAGGTTCCATGCAGTGAACTGTGAAGGTGTAAAATTAAAGTGCCAGCCTTTTCCCTACTTGTTTCTTTGATTCTCATGTTACAAAATCATAAAAGATATGTCTAATGATAGGATTTTTTTTTAAATGCCCTCACACTCCAAAAAATGTATTTTGAAATAAGTGTACAACTTTCAACTAAATTTGTATTCTAAATGTGTGTGTTATCCCATAGCATATATGTGTACCCATTGTTGTGTGCTTGTACATGTAAATGTTTTACCATTTTGAAATTTCTTCTAATAGTTTCAAAACACTATTCAAAACCACAAAATGCCAAATTATTCATATGTACATTTGTACATACAGTGTACATGTAAATGTAATCAACCTTTCTGAATTCTGAATTATGCTAGATAGCGGTGGATTGTTACTTTCACAATGAAATGACATGCCCAGAACTCAACTCTACTCTAACTATAAATATCACAAATTCCTAGATTTCCCAGGTAATATTACCTAGCAGAGCATAATACATGTATATAGAATGACAAAGAACATGCATGCATGAAACAAAAAACGTAGCCATTGTTCTATACTTTCTCACATATTTACTGAGCAGTGAAAATAACACATGCGAATGATGAGAAATAAAGCACTGTAAAGGTCCAATAGAGCGCTGGAAATCACATACCAGTATTTAAACAGATCTGGTATAAACAAACACACACAAACACACGCATGCAAAACAATAACATACAGTCTGTTTGGAGCTAAAAGGGCATTACAGCCCCTCCAAAGTGTTGGGAGCCTCAAATTTGTCAACAAATGGATGGCAAATTTTCACTCAATTATTGTATCATAATGTACAAGAGCCAAGAGGATGTCATTTAAAACACACTTCTGCAAAAATCCTCCCCCCCCCCCCCACCAAAGTGTATGAAGACAAATATTGATAAAAGAATACGAGTACGAAATTTTGTTTTCTGTTGTACGCAGAAAACCTAAATTTGTATTCTTTCATCAATATTCGACATTTGTTTTGAAAATCCTTGCAGAAGTTGGTCTTAAATGACATCCTCTTTCACATCACAAAACAATTTAAGTGAAATTTTGCCATCAAGTTTATAAAAATTAATCGTTTAATGCCCTTCTGGCTCCACATAATACAACATAATTGTATGATTAAGTCTTAATTTTATCACAGCAATAACAAAAAAAGGATCTTGTTAACATAGAAATATTTTTTTAACAATGCTACTAATACATGTACAATGTAATTAGTTTTTTTTAACTATATTGTTTACAATGTACAATTTCCTCACCAAAGTAGAGATTTTACCAGTAATGTCCAATGCAATGATGTCAATAGTCCTGAGAAGATCTACACTACAGTCAACTCTCCTTTATTTACTGTCAAAGAGCTGGTGATAATGGCATGACTTGGTCCAAAGGTTAAACATAGTCTTACTTCAATTGTTTTCTTATAATCACCTGCCTGAATTAATTTGAATCGTGAATCAGTTAGATAGACAAAAAATGCCACCAAATTCACATTCATTCAGAATAATTAATCTATTTACAATTTTTTTTATTTATTTTTTATTATAAATGCCTATTTAACTAATATTTAACAAACATTAAACTTGTTACAAAGGTTTGATTGCCCCCATGAGCATACTGTACTGCAAGTATAACAATGTATTTTCTCATAAAACATTTTGTACAATGTAGTAATACTGCAACATCCTAGTTTGCAGGTATGAACTCTTGTTCACCCTGTCTTTAGTAATGCATATACAGGGTTTGAGCTTGGAGACTATACACAGACAGCAGCCCATTTATAAGGCCGTTCTGTAGCTGCTTCTGTGTGACAACGAACTTGTAGGTCCATGGTTTCCATGGTTGACATTGGCAGAGCCTGACAGTTAGGCTCAGCTCAAGACTTAATGGAAATGTGCTTACATTAAGTGTCAAATTGGAGTCTGTGCTTACAGACTAAAATGTGGGTAATTTATACCAACTATAACCTGGGAAATAGGCTAGCTTATAATACTCATCCAGGAAATCCAAGTAACTTCCTGACTCAAGTGGTATCGTATCAGAAAGAAAATATAAAACACTTTTGATGAATCCTACACTAATACAGAAAATGAACATTAGAATCTATCCCATCCTTCCCCTCGGTGTTCATGTTACCCCCCTCGCCCTTCCACTCAAACTTCCTTCCTTTCTCTTATTCCTTCCCTCTCTATCTCTCCCCTCTCTCTTCCTCCCCATCTTCCCCTTCCCTTCCCTCCCCCATTCCCCTCACCCCATCCCCCCTCTCCCTCATTCCCTCCCTCCCTCTTTTACCCTCTCATCACAATTATCATCACAACATATTTTGAATCAGAGTGTCTCTTTTTGTTTTGGTAAGCATTTGGGAAATTAAAAAGCAATGAGGACTTGATCTAACTCTAACCAGTTAATATGAAAGTCATCTTCTCAGTGTAGATTGTAAACAAAATACAAGGTCAGTATCTCTCCCCTCTCTTTTTCTCCTAACCTTCCCCACCCTCACTTTCTCCTTCCCTTGCCCCCCCCCCCCCCCGCCCTCTTTCTCTCCCTTTCTATTCCTTCCTCCCTCTCACCCTTTTCCCCTCCTCCCCCATTCCCCCTCTTTTTTCCCTCCCTCCCCCTTCCTCTCTCTTTCCCTTCCTTCCTCCCTCTCACCCTTCTTCCCTCCCCTTCCCTATTTCCCTCCCGCATTCCCTTCTCGCTCCCCCATTACCTCCCTCTCATCACAATTATCATTAACATATTTTGAACAAGAGTACCTCTTCTTGTTTTGGTATGCATTGGGAAAATAAAAAGCACTGTGGACTTGAATAAACCCTAACCTTTCAATATGAAAGTCATCTTCACACTGTAGATTGTAATCAAAATACAAGGTCAGTGTCTCAATGACAATAACACGCTACATCATAGATCACCCCATGTTTGTTCACATACAGATCAAAGGTCCAAAAATCTTGAGTACAATGTACACAATTTGCAAAGTACAACAAGTACAATTAAATACAATGGAATGGTCATATGAACAATGGCTTTAAAATAAAATTGCAGCAAGTTCCAACTTGATACACTAATTATTTAATAATTTACAAACTGTATTTAGGGTATGTTGTCTCTTTTTAGGTATACATCCGTGTCACTCACGCCCACTTCTCATTGATCATCATTAGAGAATCATTATCCAATCATTTCTTCATGTTTAGTCACACCAACAGCTATCACTGTGGTGTGTATTTATTGATTATCCTCAGTGCATAAGCACTACTGTTGTTGTGAAGGTGTTCATGACACTCTACTCTATTCTTTTTTTTTTGTCCGTCTCTTTTTTACATTAAATTAAAAAGCAGAAAAATAACGGGTACAAAGAATGGCGAAAATCTGAAATAAATTTGGACCAATAATTAGAAAGTTATGAAGGCTTTAAATATGAGATCATTAAGTCAATACGAATCTCAAATTGGCAGTTAGTGGATTAGTGGATCTTGACTCGATTGACAGCACAATGGAAATCATGCATTTCCTCTAAGTCTTATACAGTGTGAGTCAGAAGGAAAAAAACTTAACTTTTCCAGTGAATGATATACATACAAAGGATATGATTTATTCATAATATAACCTCATCATACCTGTACTCCAAAACCAATATAGTCATGGTGAAAACTACTACGGCAAAACAAATGCGATTTTCACCTCTCAGTAACAAGAGGGCATCACATAGCCACATACATTTAACATTACATCATGTATAATTTGAGACTTTTCAAAAACCTTGTTTTATAATCATTTATTGTGATAATTTCTTGTAAGTGAATTATGAGGAAGGAAATAAAATATCTGTTTTTTTTAATACCAGAAAAATTAATCACCAAAGGGCAAATTTCAACAATTTAAATGACAAAATTCCTAGATATTTGTTTCCACTGGTTACCAATGAAGAAAGGTTTTTCCAGACAAGGTGCAGATTATATTGAATAGCAGTAGTGGTAAAGTTGGGTGTTTTCAGCCTCTTAAAAAAATGTTCAATGTAGATATTTTATTCTCTATTTCACAATTACAATCAACCTCAAATACCTCAACGTTGAAGAAGTCAAATCCCTCCTGAGTTAACTTGTTAAGTCATCACAAGTGTCCCAATTTTGCTATGTGTTATCTACAGAAAAATATTTGCACTCACTTTCAATAAACTCACAATGCCCTTTAAATCATCATATTGAAGCTCATACACACATCGACATATTTACCATACACACACACAGTTCACTGTCACCGCATGTAAACTAGTATAAACATGTTCATGATGCATTTGAAATAATTTGTGCACCATCGACGACGATGTCGATAAAGTTTGTTGTTTTGGATTCAATTCAGACTTCACTCTTCAGTAGTATGTTCATGATAATCTATTTTAATCAACTTTTTTTTTTCCCCTTCCACAGGGTTCTTTATTTTCAAAACAAATTCCATCATAGACTAGGTCTATATCTATATCCATATATCATACACAAATAATTATAGAAATAATTTCCATACATAATTAACACACAGACAATAATCATCACGATCACACCACACTTCACAGATAATCATCAACATGATCAAAGACAAAGTGAAACATAGATCTCGACTTCTTTCTTGTCGTTCAACAAAGACCTGCAAACACAGTCAGTAGTCAGTAACATTTGATTTAATTTCGACTTCACAATGCTGTATTTCCACTGCCAAAACAAACAGTAGATCTAGTGCGTGTCCGTCAATACGACTAGCTCCCGGCGCGGCGGTGTCATTTTTTTCTGCGGCACAGATTGGGGCTTTTTTTTAAAAAGAGGTCTTGAGTTAACCCTAACCCTAAACTTTCCCATAGGCTCAACAGGCACCTAACCCCAATCTGTGCCGCAGAAAAAAATAACGCCTCCCGGCGCGGCGCTAGCTCCAACTACAAATTCAAAGTACGCCGCAACACACAGCTAGCTTCTACCGGTATTCCCAGTGCCCAGTCTGCAGCGGGCCTGAGCGCTCTGGCTAGCGCTGGGCTACTGCCTCTGGCCCTGGCTAGATTTCGCGATTTCGATTGCATTTGCAGCTCGCGCTCGTCATGTTTGACCGTGTTCAGACGTAATTCCTGACTATTTCCTGACAATGTGAGTAATAAATATGCACAATATAATAGAAAAGTTTTCAAATAAATAATTTAAATTGATAACACAGGTAAATACTCACATGAACTAATTAAAGCCGTAAATAGGAAACACAGGATTCAGGAATAAACCATCCAAGGCAGAGATATACTAGGTACGTGTACTAAAATGTTGCCAAGTTACCAATGATTTTATGAAATTTATTTGTCCTATATTCTTACAAATATTCTTTAAAAACTTAATATATATATAAAATATATACATGTTATATATACAGAGATTCAAAACAATGTAATAAGTTTGATAATAATATATTTATAAACATTAGATTTACAGTGACTTAAGAATGGACTACTTGACTAAATATAGATAGATGATTAAAACATCATGTAAAATATGCATTTTGTAATTATATATGGATATCAGAGATATGATTCAATAATGCCGAATTGTCTATGTATTGCAATAAATGTGCAATTGTTTAATTATACTTTGTATGTGAACAAATTATATGAATAGAAATTAGATTTCAATGACTTTGTTAAATAATATACCCTCCTAGAAAAATGGGCCTGTCCAAATCAAATTTCGCGCGGAGTTTGTTTGTGTGTGGCGCGCCATTGTGCAAGTACTAGTAATTTGAGCAACCGGCCGCACCGAGTGGAATTAACGAAACGAAGAGGTACTTGCCTATCCCGGGAGTCTAGCGGGCTGGGAATATCAACGGCGCGCTGGCCCAGAAAGACTAGATACATGTTTAGCTTCTCAGCAAGGACCAAGCCAAAACAATATAGATTTCTAGTTCTAGATACTTAGATAGATTTTATCGCCTTTGTTTACAAGAGATGGCACCAGTGATGGATGACAGAGAGAATGGTAAGAAATGACTAGATCTAGTCAGCTAATTTAATGGTGTGTTTTTGTTTTTTAAAGAAAATATTAAATTTGGAACTTGGTCTTGGAAGTTGGTTATAAAAATATAAACAGGTTCTAGGTCTAGTCTAATATATAGGGTCTAGTATAGACATAGATTCCAGGTCTATACTAAGTAGACTCTATAACTGAATAACTTATTGCAATAATTATTTGCCACCAAAGTGCAGATTTTATTTTTAGTGAATCTTGGTGAGTTTTGTCCAGCGTTGTCTGAGAGTTTTTAGAATCACTGATCAACAGAGGGTGGCTTACTTTTTAATCATAATAGGCCTAGATCTAATAGTTTAATAGGCCTACTTTCTTCAGTTAGATTTAAAAAAAAATTTGGATAGGGTCTATTTGTTGTAAATTACAAATTCATCTGAACAGTAGGAGCGCTGGTCCGAAAATTAGGATCCGCATTTTCGCAGACGTTTCATAATTTCCAATCTGTGCGTTGGCAATGCGAAAAACGGATTCAGCGATGATTTTCTTCATGCATTTTACATTGGCTTTGTACAGAGACTTTCACGTTATTGTGGGCAATAAATCCTTGGGAAGACAGACAACCCAAAAGAATCTCGGGTAAAGGTAAAGGTAATTGTGAACTTGGGTTATTTTCTTACGCGGAATCCGTTTTTTGCATCTTGAGCGTGGTGTTCGGGAACCAGAAATCATTAGAGCGCCTATAAAAAAAGTCCTTAAAAATATGGACAATCCTTATTTTAAGGACGCAATTTGTCCGCGTTTAGGAGGATATTCCGTTGATGCGGATAATCCTCATTCTCGGACCAGCGCCCCTACTGCTGAAGGCAGCCTCAAGCCGTCAAGGGCTTAATTAATGCTTTTTCCTTCACACAAAGTATAGTACTGCTAGTATGAGTGGCCCATATATATTGGGAGATATAGTTGTGACAAGCGCACATGTACGCGATCAAATATGTCAATTCATGGAGCTCCCACATACTATCTCTGGCCGTCTGGGAGGGAACTACATGTACAGATGTATTTGGTCAGAACTCCATGTATTGACCTTTGACTTTGAGTTTGATCGTGTACGCGTGCGTGTGTTGTAACTACACGTATATTAAGGCTTAAGCCTGCATTCAGAAGAATCCATAAATAATTAAATATCCACAACAAAGCCCCCCCCCCCCCCCCCCCCCACTCAGATTCAGATTCAGATTCAGATTTTATTTCCGTTTCAAAACAAACAAAATATAAACAGACATAATATAATACAGTCAAATATAATATAAACAAAGTAAATTCAGTATTATGTAGAACAAAATTTAGTTGATAAGAAATATTGGGAAAAAACAGTACTGAACAATAGAAAAAAAAAAGACCTTGATGAAGTAATTCAAAACGGAGGGGCTTGCTAATTTTAATTTTTTTCTTTTCTTCTCTTTTCTTTTTCCAACCAAACTCTGCAGATCAAGATGCTGGTTTATCTCGACGTTCCATGCGTGACGTTGGCAAAAAGAAGGCGGGGCGCTTGTCTGCTCTGGAGAAACTGAAAAATGCAAAGAAAGGTGGCAAAAGATTTTATGACGAGGTAAAAAAATAATTGCTGTGAAAAAAATTGATCTTTTCAATTTTATTATGGTAAATTTGCTACTCCGATGAAAAACATCTCATAGTGGAATTTGTCCCATTCTGGCTAGATTTGATTTGTTTTGATTTAATTCCACTGGCAGGTTGAGAATCAGAATGTTGCAGATAAGATAATCTGAGATATGGAGTATTTTGTTCATCATTTTGGATTCCACTCTATAAAGTCATTAAATCAATGAAATTTACTCTTCCTCAAATCAAAAATTTGATAAGCTTGAAATCAATGATTCGATAAATGCTTTCAGTGGTAGTGTTTGCTTTGAATTCTAGTCTGTCAAAACTAAAGGTTGCAACTTGGTGTTATGTTGGTTTGAGGATTATGGTTAGGAATTTTTTTATACTATAAACTGAAGCAATTGTTTCTGGAGCATATTTCATAGAAATTCAAACGTGTCTCTTAAATATTTATTTTTCAGGATGAGGATATGAGCAATATTTATGATGTCGTGGATGAAGATGAGTACTCCAAGATTGTACGAGATAGACAAGATGATGATTGGATTGTAGATGACGGTAAGAATGCTGATTAAAGACAAAACACTATTATGATAAAGAAGAATAGCATAGAATGCCATAGCTTCTTTCTAATGGTTCTTATTTCTTTCCTTCAACCTAATGTTGTGAATCATATACACTTTCCTCTCTTTCTAGACATGAAGTAATAAACACAATAAAACAATCCTAGTAAAACCATGTCGATACAAACCAATTTTGTAAGTTTGTTTGTTAGCTTATTTTACAACATACATGTACATGTACCCTCAAAATTGTATATCATGTATTATTTGTTATATTGCCTAAAGCATGCTACTGTTACCTGTATGTATTTAAGCAAACTAAATTAATTCAATAGTAACACAAAGGTAAGACTATGATCCTTATCAACAAAATATGTAGTGATGGTGTCATCCAATAACTTTGATTTTGTGCGATGCTTGGTTAAAAATAATATAGTGCTTTGTATTATTTTTTTTTTATTTATCCAAATATAAATTGATTCTATTTTTATTCTATTTTCAGACGGAGGAGGATATGTCGAGGATGGAAGAGAAATATTTGATGAAGATCTTCAAGCAGATCCAGAGGATGAGGGAGAGAGTGCAGGTATCTATATATTACCTTTATATGGCTTGGTATTGGGTTTAAAGTGACTCAGTAACATTGTTGAGGGTTGATTGAAAAAAAATTGAATGATTTTTGTATGAAGTGTAACTTATTATATTCTTTCTACTGTACTAACCCTCTAATATGCAAAAAATCCTGAAAAAATTCTCAAACTACAAAGATATCTCTGGTTTTCTTTGGAGGCGTCACTGTGCAACACCCTCTAACAGTAAATTCTTCCAGCCATTTTTGAATTTTCCCAACCATTTTTCCATGAAAAAAAGACAGGCTTCAAAAAATCTTTCAACACTTAAATGTCTGGAATGGTATATATAACTAATTCATTGCTTTGTGTGACGATTTTCATTCACCTAAAATGTAATTGAATTGTAATAATATAGTTGTGAGAATTAAGGAATCGATCAGATCAGTTTTTCCCCAATTTGTATCATTAATAATAATAATGGTCCATTTTCACTCAAACTTTCAGATTATCTTTAATTTTACGTATAGCATTGAAGTCACTACCTCAGCACCACTTTCTCCCATCTGAACAATGTTACCAAGTCCCTTTAATTGATTTATGGTTTGTTAATACTGTACATGATTGCTAAGAATGCATTTGCATGCTTGTAAGTAAACAACCAGGGGACCAGTAGCTCAAAGTCCTCTCAGAGGGACCTGGTAATGAGGATTAATACCTTACCATAGGGCACTATAGTGCATTGACTTGGTTTATAAACAACAACAACCTCTAAACACAAGTTATTATGTACCCTATTTCCCTACTTTTATGGAAACTTGTGTGTAAACGGATGCTCCAAAAGACAATATTCATATTTTTTTCTTGATAATATCCTAATATGTGATGAAAATGTCAGATTGTTCTAAATTTATAACAAATTTTGTAAACCCTAGATTCTTCCTTTTTCTGAAATATTCCGTTTAAGAGGATGCCAATTATACAGTATTTCAAATTTTTCCTTGATTTTGTCGTACTGTTTACTGAGACATGTTGGAAGGTATGCATTAGTAATAAGGTTCAGCATTTTCATTTGATTCATAGCATGAAAAATATACCAAATGCAAGATCCGAAGAAAAAAAGAATGTATAACATTCTGAGTATTAGACACACAAATGTATGTGGCGTTGCTAGGGCATCCCCATAATCATTACCTAATTTTACCAGAATTTAACCACAATTGCCTGTTTTTGTCTTGTTTAGGAAAAAGAAACAGCAAATCCGGTCCGAAGAAAGATAAACAGGTGAGTTTCTGGAAGCATTGTTATTTTGCTCTTCATTTTTATGTCTCCCTGTGAGACATGTTTTGTTTTGTGATCATCATTTCTATTATCATGTTAAGCTACGGTCACAAATATTCGTACGACCGAAGCGTTTGTACGAATCTTCCTTGTTTTTCCATGGTCTTTCCCGAATTTCCATGGTCTGAAAATCGTTTGTACAGCGTTGTAACAGTTCGTAATGGCATTTGTGACCGAGGCTTTAGTGGAACATTTCAAGAACCTTGAAAATATAACCTTCTTTAGATGCTGCTTGTAAGTGTCAGCTTGCATGGTGATGTAGATATACAGTAGGCTTGCGGGTGCACCATGTGAGAGAGAGAGAGGGTTGAGGAGTCCTGAAAAGGACTCTGACTCTGTAATCTTTCTTGGGGATGTGTAGTCCTGAAAAGGACTGTTTGTTATCTTTCTTAGCATATAGTTCTAAGGAGAACTAAAGCGCTTGGAGTGGATGAGTGGCTCGACGTTTCGAACAGGTTGACTATTCGTCCCTCTCTCTCTCTCTCACATGGTGCACCTGCAAGCCTACTGTATATAACCTTCTTTATCTGCTGAAGTTCATATCTATGTGAATAAAAGCAGTAGACCGATATTGCTGACTTCTTCTACATATTATGTGTATATGAAATGTCGGAGTCTCAGATTTCTCTGAGGGGTGAGGGCAGCTATCATGTGGCTGGAACAAGAAAGGCCCCAAAATGTGAGAATGTGAGTCTATTAGGCCATTTAAAAAAAGAAACATGTTTAGCGTCCTGCCTTTTTGAAAAATAGTAAGGAGGAGGCCCTTTTTTTTTTCCAAAACGGCCGCTCCGAACATTTTCCCTGACAGTCTGGCCATTTTTCAAGATGGCCACCAGAATTTAAAGAAAAATAATCAGAAATAGATAATTTTAGCAGTATGTTTTTCATGTTTTTATTCTTAAAAAAAAAGAAAAAGGAAGCGGGCTGGGATGCTAAACATGATTTTTTTGTTTTAATGGCCTGATCTAATAATTTTCATTGTGTTTTTTTCTCAGTCCAAGAAGCCAAGCAAACCGAAAGGTGACATCAGAAGTCTCTTCATGAGTGCCGCCAAGCAGAAGAAGAAATCAGAGAAGGATGCAAGCGTCGCTGGGGATGAACTCCTGGGCGATATCCTGAATGAGATGCACAGTGAGGTAAATAACCTTTGACCTTCTATTCCTCAGGCCTGATAATTACCCGATTAAAAAAAAAATTCTTCCCGATTTTTTCCCAAGAATGAGTGGTTGAGGGAAAACAAAAAACCCATTTCATTTTAGTGCTCACTATCACCCCTGATTCCATTGTTTTGAAAACTGATTCTGCTAAGTTTGTCATCAACGCAGGCATGCTGTTGGTGAATTTCCGTATGATAGATAAGCTTGTATTCACCAAGCTGCAGTTAAGTGTTGGCATTGCTTGGCATAATTGCACACTTAGAGTTAATTCAAATAATGTTTTTAAGTATTAAAAACACTTTTGAACAAGAATGAAATGAAATAATTTTATTCACATTCTTTTTGACACTCCATCTCATAGCAGTTCTTATAGATGAAGCCACTGTCTTGTCTACATGTACAGTCAAACCTGCTTTAGTGAACACCTGTCTACAAAGACCACCTGTCTACAACAAGCACATATTTTGTTTCCCTTGAAAATAGTTTCTCATTGAAACATGTACTAAAGGAACCTGTCTACAAAGCCCACTTTTTGTGTTTCCCTTGGGCGGTCGCTGTAGACAGGTTTGGCTGTAGTACTAGTACATCCTTTAAGTTCATGAAAACTTTAAACGAGCTGAATTGTGTATGTTACTTCTGTTCTTTCATTATATTTAACTTATTTGTTGATTTTCCATCATATTTTCACAGTCCTGTGTTCCTATCCTGAAGCCCCTGGCTGTCAAGAAGAAGATAAAGGTCCCTGGGTAAGACTGTGTCATTTATCCTCTGAATATAGAGTACCGAAGCTGTGACGTCATAAATATTTTTTTTTAGAATTTCTCAATTTTTTCTTCATTTTCTGAAAGAACATTAAAATAATGTCCAAATGTCGAAAACCAATAGAATATGTTAAGTTTTGGCTGAGATATGACCATCTGAATAAATATACTCCCCATAGGAACTCAGTGTTATATGTTCTGGCTCCTAGGACATTATTTTTGAGAAATTCTAAAAATAGATTTTTGATGACGTCACACTTCACCACTCTATATCATTGAATCATTTGAAAACATACACATGTTCGATGCTGCTTATAATTATCGGCTTGCATGGTGATGTAGATATACAGTAGGCTTGCGGTTGCACCACGTGAGAGAGAGAGGGAGGATTGGGAAGTCCTGAACACACTCAAGATAGAAAGATTATCGAGAGTCCTTTTCAGGACATCCCAATCCCCCCTCTCTCTCACATGGTGCAACCACAAGCCTACTGTATCTACACATGTTCGTATAGAGGGGTTATTCCGTAAGACCGGGGCAAAGTAGTGTGATGAAGTCCTTGTTACTTTAGTGTAAGAGCATATTCTATATTTGAAGATTAAATAATTATTCAAAGTTTTACCCTGCCAGAAACATTCCTGTGCCAGTTAGAAAGTAGAGTGTTTGAAATTATCCACAGATTGATTATTGCCAAAGCAGGTTTCTAGTTATAATCCCTTTAACTGGCTTCAGTGTCCTGCTCCTTAAATTGACAACATTCAGTCCTGTGAAAATTATTAAAGAATATCACAGTATCCATCTCAAGAAACCTGTATATAAAGACTGCTTAATGGAGACAATCATGTGATTTTTATGTACAGGTTCCTTTCAAGCCACACTGTACTACTTGTAGCTACTTGCTCCCTCTATATAAAAAACAATGCCTAATTGGTGACCATTGGTCCCCCATGATCCTCTCTTTGTTATATTAATTGAGAGCTGAGTTGATGAGATAACCACCTGTCCAGTGACCTTACAGGGCGGTCTACTCCCTCCTTTAAACTAGTACAGATATTTATTGCAGTGTCAATCACTATTCATATGAAACAAAACTTGTGGTCTTTATAGACAGGTAGAAAAGGGTTTATAGTAGTAATCTTCTGTCCTATCATTCTTCACAGGTCCTCTCCTGCCAATCGGAATCCCTTCAGCAGCAAGACGCCAACGCGACCCATGCCTAAGACCATGACCCCTCGCACCATCACCTCCGAGAAGTCGGCTCCCGTCTTGATACCACGGCAACGCATCACCTCCAAACAAGTAAAGAGGGAGATGATACACGAAGCAGGCGACTCGCAGCAGAGCAAGAGGGCGAGGGGCGTGGTCGTGAAGACGGAACCGGTAGAGGATTTTGATGATGTTGATGTTGATGGTAGGTGATAGAGCTGACTTATAATCCTTTGAATCACTTGATGCCCATGCTAGTGGCTACTCCCGATCTACTATTAGCCCATCATATTCCATAGCTGGCTTATGGCTGCCAACAATTCCTATTTTGGAGGAATGATTCCTGATTTTAACCTTAAAGCTTATGTTCTGAACCCTTGATTCCATTATTTGTATCAAAACACCTGTGATAAATGCACTTTACTTTGATTTGTTTTCGCATTTCCATAATGCAACTCACCAATGCTTGGTAACATATAGGACATACCTTTCACTTGCGCAATTTGATAAAACATTTTTTTTTAAGACAGAGATGGAATAACCTTTTATTATGTACGGTATGGTATGTGTTCCACTTTTGTATAAAATGGAATGAATAATATCAACAGTAATGCCCATTGTTTTTGCTTTTCCTTACGTATCAGGCATGATTGATGTGGATGATCAAACAGACTTTGATATCGACGATGATGACATGAACGTTAAGAAGGAGAATGGCAAGGTGAACGTGAAAGAGGAGGAGATGGAAGAGGAGGAGGAGGAAGAAGAAAAACCACAGATGTCTGTCAAGTCAGAGTATGTCTTTCAGTTATGTTTTTCTTTAGCTACTTGTAAATATGCTCTTAGCTATGCAAAACCTGCTGTAATTCCACTCAGTCGCCATCTTTACCATTTTTTGTTGTTGTTTTGTTAAAACAAACTCTGACATCATTCAATCATTTTGCATTGCTTGAACAGAGCCTTTTCCCTTAAAAAGCAAGCAAATTTTGTGGAAAAATTCACCTTAATGACAGCAAGTCTAAGGTAATTTAGCATTTGATGTCCCATTTGTTACTAAGTTGAAAGGAAAATAAGAAATGTTAATCAGAATTATGATTTTTCTTGTTATTTAATCTAACCCTATATCAGTAAGTTTATGAGTTTGAGATGATTATTACCTGTATTAAAAATGTAGTCAATAATAAAACAAAATGTCTTGAATTTGCCCAGGTACAAACTTATAGTGTAGGTAATGTCCGGTACAGCATTTCATTTGAAAATGAAAAACCTCTTGATATGACTATTTAGTAATGTTAATAAAACCAGAAAAGACCATTAGTCAACAGTTATATCAAGAGATTTTCATTTTTGTATGCGAAAAAATTCTAATTTGAGTGTGATAGCTAAGTGGTATAGCAGAGATCTCGTAACAGGGAGACCCCATGTTTGAAACCAATTCGATGGGCTAGTGCCCTTTGGTAAGGCATTCATCCTCACTATCAAGTCCCTCAGAGAGGACTTAAATTCGTCTGTCCCCTGGTTGCTTACTTACAAGCATACACATGCTTTCTTAGCAGTCGGGTAAAACAAACAAACGGACCAAACAAAACAAGCAAATAAATTTATAAATAACATCTGTTGTATGGTTCGTTCGTTCAATCGCTCAAAGAATATCAAGGAGTACATCATGTGGATAGGAAGGTCCTTATTTAGCCAACTGATTGTCTCATCATCGAGATCACAAAGTCCGGAAGCACCGTGAGGGGATTGATAGGACAATCATCAATGACTTGATCCATAGTTTGGATCTCTCCACAGGCACAGTTTGGTGATGATTCAGCTCAAATTTTATGTAGAAAATATTGTGTACAGCCAACTCCAGTTCTGATACGGTTGAGGTTGACCCAGGCTTTTCTTGAGAGGTCGCTGCCACTTGGTTTTGCACAGGGCTTTTGGATTTGTAGATCATCGATGACACACTGCTTGGAATAACCCTCTTTTGATTTCCAATCTAGCATCAACCCTGAGGTGTGCTCTACCACTGGATGGGAGACCATTAAAGGAGAGCTGGAGGAGGACTATGTCAAGATGGATGTTAAGGTGGATTCTTCCTCGTTGCCCCTGACAACCAATGAGGAGGGAGAGAAAGTATTGAGGATGTACTGGCTTGATGCCTATGAGGACCCCTACAAACAACCAGGTATTAGTTAAAGATAGTATACTGGAATTCGACTCAACTATTTTTTTTTTCTTGGTTTATTTTTTATTTTTTAATTCTTTCATTTCAATTCCAAATTTTGTGTATACTTTGGACATCCTTGATACTTTCTTGCATCAAAAAGGCTTATTTCTCATTTATTCTTTTACAGTTATGTAACTGGGGTTTCATGTATTATGATGTTTGGCAGGTATTGAAACTACATCGTCATATGTATAATATAATGCAATTCTGTTAAATCGATTGACTTACATATTATTTGGATGCTATCTTATAAAGATTTATGATTTATTCAATTCAATCGCAGCTCTGTACTACAGATACAAGTTTGAAAGTATGTGATTAATTGAAGGACTTTCGATTGCAATAAATCCTGATTAATCACAACTCTTTTTAAGACAGGGCCCTGCTTGTAGATTGTGTAGATATTCTGTGTATGACTTCAACATCAGGAAACTCAAATACATAAATATAGATCTATATATACCACCAACTTGATTTGTGTTATCTGTCCCTTTCGTATTACTTATGCTATGGTTCAGAAATGCAGAAAACTAGGCAAAGTGGGATATATTGTTGAATATATTTTAATAATAATTGTATTTTGTTTTTACCATATTTTCTTTCCTCTCCTAGGAACAATTTTTCTCTTCGGCAAGGTATATATCGAGGAGGCTAAGACCCATGTCAGTTGCTGTGTAGCCGTCAAGAACATTGAAAGGAAGGTCTACCTACTACCAAGGGAAAAGGTTTGCATACACTCTTTTATTAATACATTTTATAATAATAATAATAATAGTGATAATGGTTTATTTATAAAGCGCATTTTCCGTATACATGTTCTAATGTGCTCTACAATTATGGGTACCTGCTAGATACTATATTAATGTGTTTATAAATCTTTTTCTATTTTTCTTGTCCTTTAGAAGAGGAATCTGAAGAAGGGTGTAGATACCGACAAGGATGTGACTATGATGGATGTCTATCAGGAGTTTGATGCCATGACAACCAAATACAAGATCATGAAGTTCAGGTCAAAGGTGAGTGCATGCCTGGCATAAAGGTCAATATCAGTTCAGAAATAGTTTGATGTACACTGTACACGATTGGGTCACTAGATGCAAGGCCAGCTCAGCAGTTTTAGTTTTGCATGTTTTTGCTTATCTTATATTCAAACTTTTTTATTGTTAATAGTTGTAAGTTGTCAAGCTGTGAAATAAAACACACGAAAGCACTGAGCATCGCAGCCATCGGGCGATGGAAGAACTTAAATTCAGGAACATTATTCTTGATCTAGGGAGACACGAACAAACAAACCAAGCAATTATAGCTCTTGAAAGCTCAAGTATTGACAGCTTGACTAAACCTCTAGAAATCTATTTAAAAACTCTTTGAAAAATGGTAGAGAAATAACAAATTTATTCTCAAAGAATTTTTTCTTTTTCTTGTATAATCCTCAAAGTAATTTTCAATGATATATTATATGTCTATTTCTCTCGACATACAGAAAGTCACCAAGCAGTATTGCTTTGAGAGGTCTGACATCCCAGCTGAATCAGAGTACTTGGAGATCAGATATGGGGTAATTATTATCTACTTTTATCTTTCTGAGGAAAGATGGTAATTTCCCTGAAGGTATAGCTGATTTTGGGTTATGAGAAAGAGATTCATTATATCTCAGCTGCCATGGTGTTGCAAGGCCATCATACATATATTGTTTGCAAATTGTCTTTAGATTTATGTGTCTTTCTATTAACCTAAGCATGCTTCTATTGAAATATCTGTTCTGATTGGTCCTTTACAGGCTGATATCTCTCAGCTGACCAATGATTTGCAATCCACATCTTTGGAGCTTACTTCTCTTTTTCCAGTAACCAAAGTATGCCTTAATTGAATACTCTGTTCTGAATGGTTCTTTGCAAGCTGATATTCCTCAGCTTCCCAATGGTTTACAAGGGAAAACCTACAGTCACAGTCTTGGAGCAAACACATGTCTGAAACTACTACGCTCTTTTTCCAATAACCTAAGCATACTTCTATTGCATGCTCTGTTCTGATTGGTTATTTTCAGGCTGATGTCCCTCAACTGCCCAGTGATTTGCAAGGAGAAACTTTCAGTCACATCTTTGGAGCGAACACATCATGTATGGAACTACTTCTCTTGGATCGTAAACTAAAGGGACCCAGCTGGCTTGACATCAAGTTCCCCCGTAAGTTGTCATGGAAAATTTTAAGTAAATAACAGGGCTTAAATTAATCCAAGGCCATGGCCGTGGCCCTTTCGATTGGCCTCAATGCCCCTCTCATTGGCCTTCGAGATTTTTTGTGCCCTTTCCAATTCTTCCTATTTGTGCTGTAATATAGGAATGTGCCCTACAGAAAAGTGGCCTTGCCCTAAAAATATTGAAATTTAAGGCCTGAAATAATGAAAAGGTACATTTTTATTTATTTATAGAAATTTCTCATTGCACCTAAGGTCTAAGAAAGCAAATGATTACTTGAAGATAAACACAAGGGTTAGTGTGGCTTGTTAGCTTATATGGTTCAAATAAAGGTAATTGATAACTGAGGTGTTATAAGGTATAATGGCATTTTGGTAAAGCAATGGTCTTATGAATGGGAGATTCGGGGCTTGAAACCAAGCTGATATGCTAATACCCATTGATAAGGCATTGTTCCTGACATTAAGACTTTAAGCCATACATGCATAGGTTGCGTTATACCTTCAATCATAAGGATAATAATCAGCTTCAGTATCAAAAGAACTAGCACACTTTAGAAAGAGAGAGGGACAAATGCATAGAGGGACTAGCATTTTCATTTTTCTCTAATTCCATTTTGGATTATAATTAACAGAGTTGCCTACACAAGCCATCAGCTGGTGTAAGGTCGAGACGTACATCACCAAACCCGACTTCATCACAGTCATCAAGGACCTGACTCCGCCCCCTCTGGTTGTCATGACAATCAACCTCCGCACAGTACTGAATCAGAAGACGCATCGCAATGAGGTATATATGGTTTCAATATTTCACAGCATGAAAATAACACGAACTTGAATTTCATACGTGTGAAGATATTACCTTTGGATAGTAAGAACCCACTGCACGTTTTGTAAAGATTAGTGGGGAACCCCAAAGTTGCAGTTCACCTGCACATCCCAATCAGTTTATTTCGAGATTAGAGACCCATGGGTTAAATCGATTCACTTCCCTTTTCCCCTCCCAGGCACGGGTTAAGTCGAAAAATAATAATAATGTTTTTCAATTATTTACTTTTAGATCGTAGCTGTCGCAGCTCTTGTGCATCACAAGTTCCCGTTAGACAAGGCACCACCCAAGCCCCCTTTCCAGCAACATTTCTGTGGTAAGAAACATTAATGCTTAGCCCAACTCCAAACAATAGTTTGATCCGTTCTTGTATAACACATAATAACACATTATGGTATAATGTCCCTATGCGCTTCCAATTAGCTTCACAATTCAATATCCAAACTTTAGCTCTTGCAGCCATTATCATCGCACAGTGCATTTCAAGGGATAATCCTACCAGGTACCCATTTACCTCACCTGGGTGGAGTGTGGTAAATGTAGGTTAAGGTCTTGCCATAGGACGGCAGTGTTGTGGCAGGGATTCTGACCCTCTACGTTGTGGCTCACAGTCTAGAGACTTATCCACTGGATCACAACACCTCTTAAATATAGTCAATCTGTGAAGAAAATTGCTAAAAATTTCACATTTTGCGCCCATGAAATCTAATTATAGTATTGTTAAATTCAATTTTTGAAAACAGTGACCCCATAGGAGTTGTGGAGCACCAGGAGAGTCAAGTCTGGCAGACATAAGTGCTGCACAAGAACCCACTATACTGTTATTTTTATGGAATAAGCTTCCCAAACAGCTTCCATGGGTTTATTCTGTCCAGTTTCATACTTCTTTGTCTGTTAGTGTTAGGCATTTCATTTTGTAAACGTCTTTATACATTATGAATAAAATAAAGTCAAATCAAGAGAAAGATATCAGAGATTCCAAGTTTGAGGTCATGTCCGAGACCTAGTCCCTTGGGGAAGGCATATATATTTTGTAGCAGAATGCTGTGTACTATTCTCTTTATAACTTCAGTAAAACATTGGGAAAATGATTGCGTCTTTCTTTATTAATGCTCTTAAAATTAAAGCCACATTTGTAGAATATTTGCTTGAATGACATCAGGTGTAATTGATCAATAATGATTGTCGTGCTTCCGTTCAATATTTTTCTTTTCATTAAATTTGCAGCTTTGAGCAAGCCAATTGACTGCATCTTTCCATATGACTTCAAAGACGCTATAAGGAAAAAGGTAAAATTTAATGATGATTATACTAAATATCAAAAGAAGAATTCGGTGTATGGGATTCTTGTGTTTTTATTTTTTTGTGTATAATGATTATGATAAAGGAAATGGATTTCTTTGGTAGTTTTCTTTTGATGAAATGATTAAAACAGATAATCTGATAAAATAGAGAATATTCATGAGGGCAATTAAAAAGAACAAAAGGGGCATATTTAATACTTCAGGATGGTAAAATTTTATTTTATATATTTAGTATTAAGTACTACATTCCTTGTTTACTTTTCACTATTTCACTTTTTGAATATTGAACTATTTATTACATCTCCCGGTATTTAGTATGTACTATGTCAATATTCTTTGTACATTCCATTCCCCAGAACATGAAGGTGGAGATCTTGCCGTCAGAAAGAGCTCTCTTGGGCCTGTTCTTAGCTAAGATCCACACAGTCGATCCAGATGTCATAGTGGTAAGAAAATAATTTGTTTCAATTCAATTTATTCATTTATTATTCATGCAAACAAACTGCATTCAATAAAGTACAAAACAATAATAGTGACAAAATAAAGGAAACAAGAAAGAAAAAAAAAGCGATGTGCTTGTAAGTTATTTGATTTCATATCATTTGTCAGGTGTTTGTTCAAGTATTGTATTGCAAGGTGTAAGGAAAGGTCAACACATCTATTAAAGGGAGTGGGTAGTCAGTTTCCATGTGCAGAAGGCCATAATCCGCTGACACCAGACTTGGTGGAAATACCATTAATGGGAGTACAAATCTGCACACAGCAAAACCCGTTGGCCAGTCAAAAATTCCCCCCTAATCTCTCGGAGAATACTCGAGAGTGACTCGGTGAGGAAAAGCAAAGCATTACATAAGGTCTAATGGTCATAAAACTCAAGGCTAACCCTGGTGATTGACATCCGAACGAACGGTGTCGAATTCCCCATGAGAGCTGACTTCTATGTGACTTTAACTTTTCTCTCTACCTTGATTGTTGAAATTCTCTCGCTTTCTCCTACATTCTAGGGTCATGACATATATTGACCTTTAATAATGTTCTCCTTCATTGAATCAGCTCCATGAAGACACCTTGCTGGTCTCAATCATGCTCTTTATTGATAAAGTTCTCTCTCCTTGCATTCGCTCTGATCATATCTCTTTAAAATGAAATACTGTTAAAATTAAATACAAAGATGCCAACCAGTACGATTAAATCGTATCTAGTACGATAATAAGAGTGAAATACGATATCACCTCTTCAAATACGATTTTTCATCTTTCACAAAAGAAAAAAAAAAAAGGCCCATAAAAACCCATAAAAAACGCGGAATCGCAGAGAAACATGTACAAGTAAACCCCCGCAACCCCAATAAAACTATTGCTTTAAAATTTTCTCATTAACTTTTAATGAAAGAGCAAACATTTTACTTGACCGCTCTTACCAGTATAACATTTTGCTGAACTTTTACTGGCCCAGGGCCAATATGCTAGTGGTAGTGTTGAGTTTTCGTGAAAATCTGATTTTTCTCTCTGAATTTTTTTTTTTTTTTTTTTTTTTTTTTTTGATACTCAGTCTGTTTTTTGTGTTTCAAGAGGTTGGCATCTCTCTAAATACCTCTCTCCTTCTCTTGCCCCCTAGGGTCATGACATCTATGGGTTTGACCTTGATGTCCTCCTTCATCGAATCAGCGCTACCAAGACGCCTCACTGGTCCAAACTAGGAAGACTCAAACGTGGAACCATGCCTAAACTTAGTGTAAGTTGAAGACAAACAGAATAGTTTTGTATCATACACATCTAGACAGATATTTTCAGTCATATTTAATCAGCCTGGAATTATGCAAGCTACAATTGTGTGGGAATATAGATCCTAAATCTTAAAACTATTTACTGATTCGGCACAGGGATGTAATTTGTTGACAATGTTCAGATACATATGTAGCTATGCATCAGTTTTTCTAGTTCATGGGGTACCGCATCTATGTAGTTACCAGTATTTGATTTTAAGAAAATATACAACAAAGAGAGCATATGGATTTTGTTCTGATTTTTAAATCTCTAAGGAATTTATGATAGCTCCATGAACACCCAAAGAAACAAGAACATTAAAATCTTATGATTTTGGTTATAATCATGTTTAGAAATTGAATTGCATTAACATTAACATACAACATGGTTAACAAAGCAATGATCACAGTGAATATTTCCAAAATAGAAGGAGTTTATCAAAAAAGTGGAGCTTGTTTTGGGAAATGCCAAGAACATTATAAAGACAAATTACTGTAAGAAAATCATAATTATAAAGACAGTTACTGTTAGAAAATCATATAAGTATATTTCTATACATCTAAGGAAACATAGGGTAGGAAAGAATTTACATTAGATGAGAAAATTGTTGATTGAGTGATAAATTTGGTATTTTTGTTGTTGTTGTTGTTTTGTTTAGGGTGGTACAGGGAGAGGCAGCACTTTCACGGAGAAGAATGCGACGTGCGGCCGCATGGTGTGCGACGTCAAGATCTCAGCTAAAGAGCTGATGCGATTTAAGAGCTACGATCTTACAGAGCTTTCCAGTCAGATCATTCATGAGAAGAGGGTGGAGATTCCTTATGATCGCATCAAGGATATGTACACGTAAGTATAGGACCTGCATTGAGCTTTAGACACAGCTCTGTACTAGATTTATTTGTAGCACTTTCTGAGATTTCTAGGCTCTGTTTAGATTGGTGCAGGACACATACTATGGTGACAATTGCTAGGGAAAAAAAACATCTGACGCTACCTAATTCCTATATTCAACCCTAGACAGATAGCTATACCCAACCAAAATCCTAACCCTGTATCTTTGTAAAATAAAATCCTAGAGCAAATGTCGGAGCACCGTTTACATGAGCCTCTTGTAAGATTTTGTAATTGAGGTTGGGGTGTGTGGACATTTTAGGTGCCCATGTTTCATGGACACCAGTTAGTATGAAGGCCTGATGTAGGCAAAGGGGTAGCAGCATTTTTTTTTAGCTCAATTGCACAAAACTTAATACCTTGGTGGCAAGCTCTTTGAAATTAGAAAGAATAGAATATTGGTCTATTGTAACTTTGACATAATTTTGAGTTGACATCCTTGATTAAGTATGACTTTTAAAGAATTATCTTACAGTAATGGTTGTGTTTTGTTTTTGTTGTAAATGTTAAATTGAAATGTTTGATTTATATGAAGATACCTATAAAAAAACTGTACATTTTGATTTAAAGATTGTGTTGAAAAAATGAATAACAGGTGCGATGGCTCAGTGGCAGAGCAGAGGTCTCGTAACCGGGAAATTCCTTTGGTAAGGCGTTAATCCTCATTACCAAGAGGACCTAAAAGCTGTTGGTCCCCTGGTGGCTTACACAAGCATACACATGCTTTCTTAGCAGTCAGGTAAAACAAACTAACCAGCAAACAAACCCCCAAAACAAGGATGAAAATGGTTTGATCTGTTCTTGTTTTCAGGACATCTCGTGAGCTGACCTACCTTGTAGAGATGACCTGGAAGGACGCTTTCTTCATCTTACGTCTCATGTGTGAACTCAACGTAATACCTCTATCACTACAGCTCACTACCATCTGTGGAAACGTAATGGTAAGAATACGTTCTTTATCTTGTGTGTGAACTCAACGTAATACCTCTAGCACTACAGCTCACTACCATCTGTGGAAATGTTATGGTAAGCATACATTCTTTATCTTATGTGTGAACTCAACGTAATACCTCTATCACTACAGCTCACTACCATCTGTGGAAATGTTATGGTAAGCATACATTCTTTATCTTATGTGTGAACTCAACGTAATACCTCTATCACTACAGCTCACTACCATCTGTGGAAATGTTATGGTAAGCATACATTCTTTATCTTATGTGTGAACTCAACGTAATACCTCTAGCACTACAGCTCACTACCATCTGTGGAAATGTTATGGTAAGCATACATTCATTATCTTATGTGTGAACTCAACGTAATACCTCTATCACTACAGCTCACTACCATCTGTGGTAACTTAATGGTAAGAATACTTTCTTTATCATGTGTGTGAACTCAACGTAATACCTCTAGCACTACAGCTCACTACCATCTGTGGAAATGTTATGGTAAGAAGATAGTGATAAAAATTGATGTGAAGAACGTAATACTTGTGATTTTCTTATATAGCACTATTGACCATTTGCAAAGTAAAACACATTAATTTGAATCGTTTTTATGCTTGAGTTACACTAAATGTGATGTACTATTCAATGAAAATATAAAAAAACAATAGAAGTTAACAATTACTATGAAAATAACATACCGGTAATCTTTTGATAAAGTAAACAAATTGTCATGGTTTCAATTTTTGATCTGATCCTGTTATAAAGCTGTTATAACACTTATTATTAAAACTGTACTAAAGCTAACAGAGACACGATATCCAAAAATGTCTCCATAGGGCATGTGTTGCATTTGCTGACCCTTGTGAATAATTTTGATGAGCTATATAGAATTATCCTTTTTTTAATTAAAATCTAACCATTAAAAAAAAAAAAAATGTTTTTTTTTTTTTTTAGTCTCGTACTCTGATGGGAGGGCGCTCTGAGCGTAATGAACATCTGCTCCTTCATGCCTTCAATGAGAAGAACTTCCTCTGCCCAGATAAAGAGTACAAGAAGAAAACCCAGGCCGTCAATGTAAGTTATTCAGTCAAAAATACATCATTATCAACATCATCATTATCGTTATCATCATCAAAAATCAGAAACTAGTTTAATAATTTTAATAATATTTTTCTTTTTTAGTGCAATGTTGACATACTTAAGTTAGTTATTCAATCTTAAATTATAGATCACTAAACACATCTTTTGGACAAAAGTGATGGCTCAGTGGTAGAGCAGTGGTCTTGTAACTGAAAGGTCCTGGGTTCAAAACTAATTCGATGCGCTAGTTAGTACTTTTGGTAAGGCATTAATCCTCATAACCAAGTCCCTCGGAGAGGACTTGCAGCTATCGGTCCTCTGGTTGCTTCCTCACAAGCATACACATGCTCTCTTAGCAGTCGGGTAAAACCAACCCATCTTCAGTTTGTTGTTGTTTTAAATAAAATCGGATAAAAATACATACAAAGTAGTCATACAGAGAAAAAAGGAAAAAATATTGCTGGTAGCCCATTTTCAGCTGCAACTATATTGTTGCTGCTGGTCTTCCATGTGGCCAGTTTATACAATGTACAAAATATACATAATATTAGAAATGAACAGAATAAATAATTACAAAGTATCAGTCAAAAACTAAATGGACAATTAAAGATAATCTTCAATCCAATGAAACCTTTCTTCCTATCCTAGATGGATGGAGATGATGAGCAGGAGAGACCAACAAGGTCCAAGAACAAACCATCCTACGCCGGAGGGCTGGTCCTGGATCCTAAAGTCGGTAAGCTACACCAGTTGTGTAAATATAATGAGCAATTGTGCTGTGTTCGATTATTTTGATTCACAACCCTTCCATAATTAAAATAACAGTAGTTCTTTTTTTCTTTTTCTAAATCTTATGATGCGTTGTATTAAATGGAGACTTGACATGAGATTCAATATGGATACTGTTATACAATGTCATAAACAAAAGTCCCCTTTTTCTTCTTTAACATTTTTTATTCTGCTGTATTCTGTTGTGTTTTCTTTTTCTTCTTTTTTTTGGCAAACTGCCACTCTGGTTAAAATGTATAAATCCCCTTTTATTGTTATTTTTCTCTTTATTTTCCAGGTTTCTACGATAAGTTCATCCTCCTGCTAGATTTCAACAGTCTGTACCCGTCGATCATTCAGGAATACAACATCTGCTTCACAACCGTGGTTCAGACACCCTCAGACAAGGTATGTCCTGCTTCAAAATTGATAGTACTGTCAAACCTGCTCTAGTGACCACCTGTATATCTATCTATCAGGCTATAGTTCATCCAGACGTTGGACAAAGCCCTCCTCATAACATTTCCATTCTCTTCTGTCTCTAGCTGTCCTAGTCCAAGCGGCCGTTCCCATGTATGATGTTAGGTCATCTCTCCATCTTCTCTTCTGCCTTCCTCTTCTTCTCTTTCCCATCTTTGGGTGCCATTCTGTTAAACGATTTGACCACCTGTATAGAAAGACCACATCTTTTGTTTCCCTTTAAAATGGTTTCTCATTGAAGCATGTACTAAAGGAACCTGTACATCAAGACCACCTGCCTATAAAGACCACTTTTCTTGTCTCCCTTGGGTGGTCTTTATAGATAGGTTTCACTTTAATTAACTTTCTGTGTTGCTAGAGGTGTCGTAGTCGAGTGGTCTAAGCTCTTGACTTGAAATGCACAGGTTGTGGGTTTGGATCCCCGACACGGCACTAAAGGAGAGAAGTGGGGACCTGGGACCCATTCCCAAAGCTTTTTTTCAATGATATATGACAAAAATCAGTGACAAATCTGCCGATAACCATTCAGAAGCAAGGATTTCACTAGCTTACCGTATTTACCGGCGTAAAGGCCGCACCGCCGTATAGGCCGCACCCCCGATTTTGACATTCAAAAAAAAAAAAAAAAAAAAAAAAATTCGTTTTTTTTTTTTTTTTTTTTTTGGTTGTTGTTGATGTTTTGTTGCCGAAAACCCACGCGGGGAAGGACCTTCATTTAACATCGAGGTGCAGTTAAAGGCGCTGATTTGTGCTTGTAAACTTGTCACAAATAATAGTAACAATGTCGTTTTTAGAAGAATGTGTAAGATCATTAATGTAAATTAAACACAATAGAGTACCTATGGTACCAATGGTGTACCTTGTGGTACACCATTTGTTATAGAAAAAAAATTGAGGAATTATTATTATAAACTACATATTGAGATCTGTTAGAAAGATTACTTTCAAACAAAGATGACAGACAAATTTGAGTGTTGTTGTAGTTTCCGAGTGGTGAGTCAACACACTGATTACTGAGCTGGAAGACATTGCCAGGCATAGCGCCATAAATAAAATTTTAAAAAAAAAATTAAAAAAAAATCATTTTTTACTCTTTCGCCGCATAGGCCGCACCCCGACTTTTTGATATTTTCTCTTCCAAAAATACTGCGGCCTATACGCCGGCAAATACGGTATACAAAAAACTGACATTTGTCACTGATGACAAGTTTTGTGAAATAGGGCCCTTTTAGGATGACGAAAACTTTTTTGTTGTTTTATTTTTGCCATATGCCCTCTCAGTGACCATATATAGTAGGAATAGGGAGAGGAGATGGTGCACACTGTTCGTGAGTGAATCTGATGACCGGGGTAATAATATCTGTATATCGCTAAGAGACGGTATTTCGTATTAAAGCACTATACATATCCAGACTATTATTTCAAATCATGTAGCCAAATGCATTTCTAGTACCACTTGCCTACTCACCTTATCATAAGCATTGTAAATCATTTGTAGCTGGGGTAAAGTGTCAAATGTTATGCAGTATTCACTTTGTCAGAATACTTTAATTTCATCAATATATCTTTATGACTATTATTGCCTATCTTTTTGGAGCAAGAAGGACATTAACTCTGTATAAAATTATATGAATTTTTAAATGCCTTCCTGGCTTCAAACAGGCATTATCAATATCAAAATATGTAATAATGGAAGAAAGCACTACCAAATATCAATGTTCTGTTAATATTGTGATATTTCAAAGTATTGTGCAGCCCATCGATCCACCCACTTGCCTCTTTAGCATCCTAGGTAAATAGACCCCCAACTCAAACTGCTGTTGTCTTTTTTTCTCCTAGGATGGATCAAATGATGACTGGATGCCTGAAGTACCAGACAGTGATCTGACCGATGGGATCTTACCAACGGAGATCCGTAAGCTGGTCGAACGACGTCGTCAGGTCAAAGGTCTCATGAAACAGCCTGATCTTCATCCAGACATCAGATTACAGGTTGGTTGCAAAAAGTTGTGAACATCATTGTAGAGGTGTCATAGTGGAATGGTTTGAACACATAACAGGGGAGTGTTTCACAAAGACTAAGATTAACTTTAAGTTGGACTTAACTATGGCAGGCCATTCATGCCACTAGTTCCTCTAACCATTCATGGCATTGGTTTCTCAAGGGACGTACAAATCATGGTCACAAGTCTACAGAATTTACATTTTTTGATAGTTCATTATTGAAGGAAAAAATATTATCTAAAGATCATAATTGAGAGACTGATGCCTTGAATGGTGAGAGCAACCAGTGGCATGAATGACCTGCCATAGTTAAGTCCAAATTAAAGTCGATCTTAGTCTTTGTGAAACATTCCCCTGGACATGCAGAGGTCCTGGGTTCAAGCCCCATCATGGAGCTAATGTCCTTTATCAAGATATCAGTTCATACCTGCATCAGTAGATGATAAAGTTTGAATTAATTTCTAAGAAATCTAAATTTGCTCTAGAATTAAAAAAAAAAATAAAGAAGTCCAGAGAATTGAAGATTATTAACCTGTTGAATGTTAAAGGGAAAGTCCACCCCCAAAATAAGTTTGTTTCGATAGAGGCAGAATAATAAGAAAATCAGGTGAGTGAAAGTTTGAGCAAATTCTGAATGAAAATAAGAAAGTTATGAATTATTGAAGTTGTGATCAATCAAATACAAATTGGCAACTCTGTGACTTATTATACGAGTTCTCTTCATTTGCTTTGTGCATAATATTCCATAAAATCATGTTTTCTTCGTTATTGATGACGGAATATATATTTGTTCCTTGCAGGGGGAGTATAGAAACATATTTGCAATTATTATATTTCGAGTGCATGTATGGTTGAAATTTTTCTTGAGGGAAAATGAAAATTTTAGATTTTTTTAGTACTGAGCAAATGGAAGTTGAGCTCGCATGATACGTCATAGAGTTGCCAATTTGTGTTTGATTGATCACAACTTCAAAAATCCTAACTTCCTTATTTTTAATCGGAATTTGCTCAAACTTTCACTGACTTGTTTCTCTCATTTTTCTACTCCTATTAAAACTAACTTAATTTCAGGGTGGACTTCCCCTTTAAGTCTGAGATATTATAACTAATTATAAGTAAATAAAGTCTTGAGAAATTTAAGTTGATAGATTGATAAAGAATGCAAGGCTTAGTTTACTGCGTTTTAGAGTGTTTCAACTTTTATAGAGACTCGAATAACAATTAATGACCAATCAAGACCTTTAGAAATATGTACAGTAACAAAGTGATACATCAGATTGTTTAGAGATTTTGAGTAAATGATGATGATAATGATGGCCACCTCTGATGGGCGCTCATGGTGCTTGCTCTGCAACGTCTCACAAATTCAACGTTCTTGGTCATGGTTTTAAAATAAGATTATTTTCCATTAGTCTTTGTTGGCATTAGTGTAATAGTCAGGCCTGATAAAAACCCAATTTAAATCGGTTTCCTGATTTTTTTTCCTTCTTCTTCTTCTTCCGGACTTTATCTAGATTTTCCAGATTTTCCCCTTATTTTCTCTATTCTTCCCTATTTTCCCTATTATTTCCCAATCTTTCTTAGTCAAAAGGGGGGAATGTTGTCAGATGCCATTTCCCCCCCCCCCCACAAAAAAAATCCTTTTCTTTTTAACTCAAGGGGGGTGTGGTTGAGGGGAGGGGGGGGGGTGCTCACTATCACCCCTGAATAGTCTACAGATGACACAGTAGCCGGGGATAGGAATGGGCTGCCATTGTATGTTTGACAGTAATTACGAGTCTGCTAAATGCTTCCAATGACATCTCATTTCAGTATGACATCCGCCAGAAGGCTCTGAAGCTCACGGCCAATAGTATGTACGGGTGCCTTGGATTCTCTCATTCAAGGTTCTATGCTAAACCCCTGGCTGCACTGGTTACTAGCAAAGGAAGAGAGGTATGTAACCTGTTACGATATACGATAACCGAATATACGGTATCCGACGTAGTTGAATAAACAACATGTCTACCATAACAAACCAGACTGCCGACTCTATATTATCCTGAGTTATCTACCTTACTAAGACCCTCAAACTCATCATAACCTACTCAGGCTGTGTGACATCATATTTTTGTTTATTCAGTTATCTTCAGCTGTAAGTTTGCCATTATGACATCGTTAAGTGCAATTGTGCATACACAGGTAGGGGAGGGGGGATGTAAAAGTGCGTATAGCCCGTAAGAAGGAAATGATTCTGTACAAATAGTATCAGTTTCTTGTTTTGCACCGAGAAAATCAAAATATTTCTACAAGATTATGCAAAGTCATGTGATTCGTCATTGGGGTTCTGCCTCAAAAGGGTCAAGGCCCTTCCACACTTTCATTTCACATTTTTTAATGAAAATTTGTGTATTTTTATGACACTTTTTCAAATACCTGCACTAGTATGACTGTTTATGGTATTTTTTTAAACTTTTTTTTTAATTGAATGTATATGTAGCAATACAACTTGAATTTGAACTGGAATTTCTTGACCTGTTCCTATGTTCATATCAAATGTGGGCAGTAGTTTTGCTATCCAGGTTTCTTCCAGGTAGATAAGTAGTGCCTTGTATATGTTTTTGTTACATACATGTATAATAATCTGAACGCATGTAATCTATTATGCTTTTATTTGTCTAGATCTTGATGCACACCAAAGAACTGGTTCAAAAGGTAAGGACTCATGTTCGTTGACTTTATGATGGAATATTTTGAAGAAAGACATTGTTGTGTTTGAATGTATAATTGTGTTTTCTTGTTCTTGTTCTTTTCTTTATTTTTGTTGATACAGTCAAACCTGTCTATAGCGACAGCTCAAAAGTGGTCTTTGTAGACATGTTCCTTTAGTACATGTTTCAATGAGAAACCATTTTCAAGGGAAACAAAAAAATGTTGTCTTTGTAAACAGGTAGTCACTAAAGCAGGTTTGACTGTATATACGCAATTATATATTTCATGCATGTTGCTCTGTTTCAAGTTAACAATTTATTTCAATGTTTATACATATCAATTCACTTTCTATCTCATGAGGGAAGTATTCAGGCCTGATAATTACCCAATCTAAACTCGGTTTCCTGATTATTATTTTTTTTAGATTTTTACTTCCGATTTTACCCCTATTTTCCCAATTTTTCAAAATTACGCAAAAGGGGGGAATTTTGTTAAATGCCATTTTTTTTTTGCTCAAAGGGGGTTGGTTGAGGACTAAAAAAAAAGTTTTAGTCCTCACTATCACCCCTGATTATTGCAATCTTTAATGATGCTCTCTCTGTTTTCAGATGAATCTCGATGTGATCTATGGAGACACTGATTCTATCATGATCAACACCAACTCTACAGACCATGATACAGTCTTCAAGCTTGGCAACAGGGTAAAGAGATTTTTGTGATTTTAAGACGCTTTCTTCTGCCACTCTAAAATTGCTGTTGCAATATAAGATGCAAATCTATCATGCAAATGATGCAAACCATTATTTAGAAGCACTTGGTGGTAAGTTAGGATAAAGGTATGTTGTAAAGGCCTGTCCCATTCGACCGATAGACGTAACAAAAACTGTTATTCCAAATCATTCTCCCAAAGTTTATGCGTAAAAAGTATCGGATATGTCACAAAATCAAAGAAAATCATTGCTGAAGGCTCATTCGTATAAATCAGTGGAATGGGACCTCATCTGGAGTCAACTCCCAAGAATATGAATGAAGGAAAAATGATAAACTACAGGGTTGCCTTAAAATTAGTGATTAAGTAAGATTGTTGATTTTAGATATATTATTGATTGATCTTTACTTGATTTGTGATTCCAGGTCAAGACAGAGGTCAACAAACTTTACCGTCTACTGGAGATCGACATCGATGGTGTCTTCCAGTCCATGCTCCTACTGAAGAAGAAAAAGTAAGCTGGGTAGGGATTTGAACCGTGTATCTTGCGATGCATGAACAGCTGACTTATCCATCTGACCACTACTCCTCTTTCATTGACTTGTAATGCTGTGAATAGTTTAATAGATTTCATAACAATAATATTAATAGTATTCAGTTCTTGTATAGCACATATCACATTATATAAAGATATTATGCGCTTCCAAAGAGCTTTGGAAATTATTACCCTAGCTTTAGCTCTGGCAGCTTATCAGCGCACAATGCATTTCAAGGAATAATCCTACCAGTTATCCATTTACCTCACCTGGGTCGAGTGTGGCAAATGTAGATTACTGCAGCGGCAGGACTCGAACCGCATACCTTGTGATCCACAGTCCGGTGACATATCCCACAACCACGGCACCTCCATGCTCTCATTCCTCTATTTTCTTGTCAGGTATGCTGCCATCACTGTTGAACGTTTGCTAGACGGCACCCTGAAGACATCCAAGGAGATGAAGGGTCTCGACATCGTTAGGAGAGACTGGTGTGACTTGGCTAAGAAAGTTGGAAGGTAACTCTAAGACCCTATAATAGGGACTTTTAGATTGGGTGGACGAGAACGGCGCAAACTTCCACTGATCATGTGTGCACATGTGGCTAGCCGTTTTAACATTTACTCCTATTTCTTGATATCAAGAAATGATTTTCTGTTGTAAAGCAATGATAATTCTTGATATCAAGAAATATGAATAAATGTTAAAACGGCTTGCCATAGACACGCAGTGGACGTTGACGCCGTTCTCGTCCACTCAATCTAAAAGTCCCTTATAATCTTAGTATGATCCTACTTTGGGAGGATTTGCTGTAGCATTTCATATCAACATTCAAAATGTAAAATTCTAATGATTTATACCCCCAACGTGATCGACACAAGAGCAAACAAAAAGTGACACTACTCAATGTGTGTGTGTGTGTGTGTGTGCCATTTTCAAAAGCAAAATGCCCATTCTGCCCTTTAAAGTATCCTACAAGCATCTCACATCAGCAATTTGGGGATGTTCAATGGTTCATCGAACACACCAGTAATTACGAAATCATGCATGTTCAACCAATGATCCATTAAAAAAAAATTATACCTGTATGTAGAAACTGTAAGAGGCATTGATCCATGTGTTTTTTTAGAATACAATTTTGTAAGTAAAATACATCTTTTGTGATGAAAGAATACAGTTTTTGAACTCCAGAGGTTGGCAGGTCTGTACAAGGTATTTTCATGATGCTTTGTTTACATATGACATGGCAAACTGCCTTTAAAAAGTGCCCTTTTTTCTAATTTAATTTTGCCATTGGCTGTTTACATAAGACTGCAAAACATATGTTACTGGATATGCAAGGTATTTTATGAACAAGGTCTTGTGTCTTTTCAGTTATGCCATTGATCAGATCTTGTCTGCAGACTCAAGGGAAGTGATCGTCGACAACATCCACTCTCATCTGGTAGAACTTGGAGAGAAGGTGGCAGCAGGCACCATTCCACTGGACCAGTATGAGATTAATAAGGTTTGTAGTTCTGTTTCAGCCTGCTAGAGTGGTTCTGCAACACATGCTCTTGCGACAATCAATTGTTGGCATGAACTAAATTCCTTTACTTTGACCCTTTGCCAAATGCTATATCTAGCCCTAACCCTAATCTTACATAAAAGCAAGTTGCAACAATAATTAATGCTTACCCAAATCTGTGACGATATAAAGCAGGAGCAGATATCACTGGAGCATGGTAACAGCCCATGACCATAGCAAGAACGTTCAGTGAACCAATTACCAACCAATCCTTTTTCGTAACAATTATTTTTTAAATTGGACAATATCAATGTATAGGTCCATGAATTTGCTACATACATAATTCCATGATTCTGGACCAATCACAAAAGGTTCTGGTTGACAGGTATCTTGGATCTCTCTTAAAGAGGTGATGTATTATGACAGTTCAGGAAGTAAGAATGATAATACAGTCAAACCTGTCTACAGCGACCGCCCAAGGGAAACAAAAAATGTGCTTGTTGTAGTCAGGTGGTCTTTGTAGACAGGTTCCTTTAGTACATGTTTCAATGACAAACCATTTTCAAGGGAAACAAAAAATGTGCTTGTTGTAGTCAGGTGGTTTGTGTAGACAGGTTCCTTTAGTACATGTTTCAATGAGAAACCAGTTTCAAGGAAAACATAAAATGTGCTTGTTGTAGACAGGAGGTCTTTGTAGACAGGTGGTCACTAAAGCAGGTTTGACAATACCAATATTTTGTTCTCACTCTGACAGGGTCTGACCAAAGCACCTCAGGACTACCCAGACAAGAAAAGTCTACCTCACGTCAACGTAGCGCTGCGTCTCAACAGTCAGGGAGGGGGCAAGCCAATCGGGGCTGGGGATACAGTCTCCTACATCATCTGTGTGGTAAGTGTTTCAGAGCAAGGTAAAATGGTGTAGACAAGTTGTGGAGGTGTTGTAGTCCAGTGGTTTTAACACCTAGCCAGGGGGGTGTTTCACAAAGATCCTACATTATGGAGAACCATTTTTAGCCTTAAAACAAAATATATTCAAAAGCAAAATACAAGTATTTTAGACTTTTTATAACTTCCACATCAAGAACATGAAATCTCCATGATAATAGAAAATATGATTGATTTGAATCAACATTTTATGCCTTTATAAATAACTTTGCAAAATATTTTCAAAGATGCTACATGCTTTCCATAATTGTTAAGTCCAACCTAGAGATAAGTTCAACTTAGGATCTTTGTGAAACGTCCCCCTGAACTGTAAAGGTCTCGGCTTGAGCCCTCAAAAGGCATTACTGTACTTTGGCAGGATATCAATCTACATACATAACTCTCAACACCCAAGTGTAGTAAACTGATACCCAGTAGGAAGAAATTCCTTGAATGATTGAGCACCTTGTCATGGTAGCTCGGCTAAAGCCAGGATAGTAATATAATTGCAGGGCACTCTGGAAGAACAGTACTAGTGTAAACAAATCATGGTGTTGTTGTCGTCATCAGCATTGTTGCTGTTGCTACTACTTTTGTTTTTGTCACTAAACTAAGACAACTTACTATTATCTGGTCTTTTAGGATGGATCTAATCTACCGGCGGGTCAAAGGGCGTATCACCCTGATGAGCTAAGGAAGCAGGAGCACCTCAAGGTTGATACCAAGTACTATCTGGCTCAGCAGGTCCATCCTGTCGTCTCTCGTCTCTGTAATCCCATCGAGGGCACGGATGCTGCTCATATTGCAGAGTGTCTAGGTAAGTTTGCATTGATTATCCCCATACATTTGTTTCTGGTCCTGTTTCATAAAACTTTTTATCTATAACAAATGCTAAAGTTTTATGACAAATCTGCTTTCAGCCAATCAGATGCCACGATTTCAGTAGCTTATAACAGAAGCTTGTAACTTGTAAGTGATATCAAGTTTTATGAAACAGGGTCCTGGTCTGTATGATATGTTAGAGGGGACAAATGCAGCTCATATTGCAGTATGAACAGTAAACAACTGAATTATTTACACTTGTAACAAGTTTTGTAATTGTTTAAGCATGTGAAAATTGAGTTGTCCTGATTTATGTTTCTTGAGAATGTAACATATTAAAGGTTACATTAAAAAGCATTCATCAAAGGCCCTAAGTCAACCAGTCCGCCTGTCATTCTTGATGTACTGAAACAAAAAATCATCAATTTTACAAGGGGTATGACAAATTCAGTTTGTTAGCAGTAAGTTTTTTTCCCCATTTTTGCACAGTTGTTAAAAACGTGGCTTCTCGTTATATGCATTTAATTTTATGAGAAAATAAAAATTCTGTGTGTAAAGATTGCTCAAGGGAGGCAAGTGCGGTCATTTCAAGGTGGAGGTTTTCATATCGGGTTATTTAACTCAAATGAGTAGCTCTTTTTAAGGTAAATGGTAATCGACAGATGGTCTTTCTATACAGGTCGCCACTAAAGCAGGTTTCCCTTTAGGTACTTATTTGTTCAGGGAATAACTGAGCTTTTAAGGTGTAATCATGAATGTGCCCCGATATGGGCATTGGCAATATGGTATGCTTATTTGAGACATATAATCGTGACATAATTTGATGCATTGTTCACAGGCCTTGATGCGTCAGGTTATCGTCAGTCCGTCCGTCATTACGAGGACGAGAATGACGCGCTTCTAGGAGCCCAAGAGGATGACGAAGAGAGGTTCAAAGATGCAGACCGATTCAAGTTCATCTGCCCGAACAGCGCTTGCAAGAGAGAGAACATCGTTGATAGCGTGTTCACTGGCACGGTAATAATTGCAATAAGTCATTATTTGTCAGTATACATATACCTAGGGGTTTAAGTCGGATAGTAAAACTATTTAATGCGGTGAAATATGCGGCTAATTCATTTAACTCAATGACATGTAGCCATTATGAATGGAACTTTTTTTGTTCTTCACACACACAAAAAAAGTTTCCAAAAGTTTTTCAATTTGTCATATTCATATTAAACTTTCTATTACTGTATTATGCATAAACATGGCAACATTTTAAAGACAAAGTTATTGATGCCATATTCAGACAAAAAATATTGGTAATTTATATCAAAATAAAAGAAAGATGTATATAGAGCAAACAGTATTCACCTATGAACCATTTTATGTTAATGCTAGCAGCAATATACCAGAAAAATCAGTTTTTCGCAATTTATTAATGATGATACTAAGCAGTTTGGTACAATAGATATTAAAATATGTTAAAGAAAAGATTATTTATGGTCATTGTGATAGTCATACCATCATGTTTCATAGCATTTTATAACTTATTTCTTTTTTCTGACAGGGATCGTTGGCAGAAGCCCGCCTGAGTTACTGTGACAGTCGCTGCGGCACAGTGCCAGCTGATCATGTGACCATGCTTGGCAACAAGCTCCGCCTTCTCACCCGCAGCTACGTTCAGAAATACTATGCTGTAAGTGATTACATATGCCAATTTTAGGGTTAGCTCAAGTTCCATGAAGTATGTGTAGTTTGAACCCTCCAATCAAGTATTGAATCCTGTTTATGCTATCAAGTTAAAAATAAACTTGTAAGACTGAAATCATGACTTAAAACCCTTTGTTTTATTGATGAATTTGGCTTTGATATTAAACCTCAGGCTTCTGTTTCGGGAAGAAGATATATTTTATTAAAGGCGTCATTAGAGGGACATTTGGAGTAAAAAAATGAGTCATTAAGTAGACATTGTCATTAGGAGGACAATTTGGTGTCCTCTTAACATTTTGTACGTTTTATTTCTCATAGAAGACCCAATTTTTGTATATATTTCTCTTTATGTAATATTACTAAAGACGTCATTGGAGGGACATTTGGAGTGAAAAAAATGAGTCATGATTAAGTAGACATAAGGGTTAGGTTTAGGGTTAGCGTTAGGATTTTTATGATGTCCACTTAATGTACCATGTAGGGTTATAAAATTATGTATATATAAGATGTGTACCTTCAAAGTTCAAACTTATTGTTCAACAATGAATTTCTTGGACAGGATATGAATCCTTGTCATGCCACAGAAGGGTTTTGATTGTCCATGAAATATTTAAAGTGTGTGTAGAAGAGAGTTTAAGGGCAAGAATTTGTTTTTAGCTCATTTTCATCTATCATTTATATTACAGGGTTGGTTGATATGTGAGGATACCTCATGTGCACATCGGACCCGCAGGTTGCCTCTGAACCCACATCGACAGGGGTTTGTCTGCCCAGTTTGTCAGAGAGCTGTTTTAAGACCAGAGGTAGGCTTATCGACTTATACAAAAAAATTATGTTTGCTTTGCATTAAAGATAAAGACAAGTTATGGTCATGTGATTGCATTGTGAAAGAAACGTTGTGGAATCTATCAGAAAAGGTTGATCATCTAGCATATAAGTATTCGTGTGTACTGCAAGGTTCTGGAATCATCAAAATGATAAGAAATTTGACCCAGTCTTGGTAAAGTTACAAGCACTGTACACAGAAAGATATATATGGGACTATACGCACACGTGCATTTATCTCTCACATACCAATAGATAAACTAATTTCTCAAATATATCAATTAGTAGGCGGTTTCCCGTCAAAATTTTTATCATGTATTAGTCAAAACATATTCTTTCACATGATTGGTAATGGAGCTTCCATTTCATTTTTTGAAATTGGGGCGTTTCCAATACTGGTCTTTATCTTTAAAGATATTTGAATGATTGTGGTTAGGGCTCCAAGAAAAATAGTGATGTGTCTGTAAAGTTGTGGTCTAGTGGATGAGTTGCCAAGCTATGGACCATGAGGTAGGGATTCAAATTGATAATTTCCTTTGGCAAGACATTGATCTACTCTCTACCCTAGTTAAGTAAATGATTTTATGAATTTTTTGAGCACCTTATCATGGCAGTGCTTGGCCTAGGCTGGGTTAATAGTAATAATGGGTTCTTGTATAGCGCTCATGTCTATCACTCCCGGTTTTCCACAATTATTACTCCGACTTTAGCATGGCTACCATTATGACGCTCTAGCATTTCAAGGAATTAATATCTGCAAGATACCTAGTACTTCATGGTTCCCAGTCCAGAGACTTCGCTTCTGGACACAACAACTCAGGATAAATCCAACTATTATTGGTGTTGTTTCAAAGAAGTAAACAAATATCCCTGTTATATTTGTCTAAGATTTGTGCAGAATCAATCCATTGTAGATTAGGGAACAGACCATTGTTTACTATTTTCTGGGTCCTGGGACGCAACCGTCAGTTAACCCTCAATGACCAACCATTTGCCACATTCAAATATTATACTGATGTTATGATTTATTTATTTTACAGTACTCTGACAAGGAGCTGTATACACAGCTGTGTTTCTTCCAAACTATCTTCGACTATGAGAAGGCACTCACCGAAAACAATGACAAAGGTAACTTTTTTTTAAATTCTATTTTTATCGCATTTTGATGCAGTAATATACATGGGTCTTGAGATACCATATGGTTATTGATCAAGAGAGGGAGATAGAGAGAAAGAGAGGAGGCAATCTAATTATAAAATAAAGGGGGGGAAATAGAAACAACAAAATGTCATGCTTAGCTTTTAAATTCTTAATTTTTAATTTTAAATACAATAGACATGACATTTAGAAAAAATAGTGTTCAGCTTTTCTCTAATTTGCTAATGCTAAAAAGTAGACGGATAAAATATTAATATCATTTATGCTACTTGACAATCATACTCTTTTCACACTGGTTTTGCTTAACCCCGTACTTTGCTTAGCCCCGTACTATCCTTAACCCCGGACTATTTTTTTTGGCTTTTCACACACGCTGTTTGTAGTCCCGTACTAGCGCCTATTCCGGAATAAGAAAATTCCCGCTGTTCTCACTGCATTTCGTTAACCCCGGATATCGTGAATGTTATTATTGGACATACTTCGCATCTGGCCAGCTGCGATACGCTCCATTGCGTAGTACCGGACTATTTTTCGTTTCTGTTCTCATTCATTTGCTTAGCACCGCAATTGCGGGGTTAGCAGGAGTTAGCACCACAATTGCGGAGTTAGCCCTGCTATTTTGCAGGGTTAGTTAACCCCGTACTATAGGTGGGGTTAGCCAACTTTAGCCCACTTTGGTAAAAACCAGTCTGAACAGAAAGTGGAATAGGCTTAACCCCGTACTATAGGTGGGGTTAAGACCCCCCCTTAACCCCACCTATAGTAGGGGGTTAAGCAAAATATTGCCAGTGTGAAAACAGTATCAGTAACCCTTTAATCAGTGCAAAATATTTTATTTTATTTCTTTAAAATTATGTATTTATGAAAGATATCTTTTAGGCCTCAGAGATGTGTGGCCTTGCTCATTCTCTACACCCTGTTAATTGTGTTCCTGTCAAATTTCAGCTAAATCACGTAGCCAAGAACCGGCGTCTGTGAGGGCAGCATACCAGACGTTAAAGCAGATCATTGATGTACGTCTGGCAGCGAACGCCTACTCCGAAGTGGACCTATCCAAACTGTTCCATGGCCTCTTTCTCATGAAGTAACTTCACATTGGTTTCCCATCCAGCTGACTTATGGTGTACTTCTCAAATATACCCATTTACCGTCTTGATCTATGGGCTTCTGAGGCTAAGATAGAGTGGCATATAAAGATGCAAGCATGCTTAGCCACAGTATCATAAATGTAAATAAGAAATAACAAAGTTCCCAAAATAGAGCCCTGAGGGACACCATATGATATTGATTTGTAAAAAAATAATGAGAACTTACATATATAAATCTTAAGGTGTCATAAATATTGGTGAATTAAAATTCTAATTTGAATTACATGAATAATAGTTTCGACCAGATTAATGCTAATCACGGTTTTTATCAGCCCCATATTCTCATGATATGGTTCGACCTGTATGCCATATAATTATGATTTTAAACATTTATTCATTTTGTGTTCTAGATGTGTCTTTAAGATCCACTTCCTCGTGCTAAGCTATCTAATTCAGGTTTGGGTCTATGGACAAAATGTACCTAAAGCAAATTTTATATCCAATGGGTTATCAAAACTTCTCCATCCTTTAGTGATTATATATTGTAATCCAATTCTTGGATGAAATGGCAACTGGATTAGCAATGAAAGGTTTCTAAACTTCTTGACCCAAGATTTACGCTGATCATATGTGATGTTCGCTACAAAACTTGTGACAAAAATGAGTTGCCACTCGCGATAATAATAATAATAAACGTTATTTGTATATCAGTAAACATAGCAGAAATGGTGTTTGGGGTTGGAAACATAAAGTTTATTGCTTTATCGTAATTAGAATCTCTAATTACTTATCTATAGTCTGACTGATTATCAGGTTTAACATTCATACAAGAAATGGTTGCCATCAGTATATGTGGAATATTATATTACTTTAAACAATACTCCATGATAGCCAACAGCGTTTTCACTTTATAAATCATAAAAGTCAATATGAATAATACTTGTGATATTAATAGTTTGTAAAAAGTATAGTAGTATGAATCCATCAGTCAATTATTGTAATTTATCATCACTATGAATATGACTGACAAAGAAAGCGGACAAAATATACAGTTCCTCAGGTAGACAAAGGGACATCCCTTCACTGCTTTTATGTGAAAAGTTGAATATGCATGTGACACCTGTTCTACACATTTTTACATAATAGCAGTGAAGGGATGTTCCTTTGTCTACCTGAGGAACTGTATATTTTGTCCGCTTCTTTGTCAGTGATGTTCATAGTGCATACCAGTCTTGTAATATTTGAAAAGGTGGAATTGACCGTAATACATTAGTAGGAATATAAAAGTGTTTGAATTATGAAACAGGTTAATTATTTACTTATTTAACAAACCCTAACAGTCAGAGAATCATCAACAAGTCTTAGGACTTTTCCCGTTTTACTGATAATAGTTTTAACTATCGATTGTTCCTGGAGTATTGGACATCAGTGTTGTGTGTCCCATCTCATCGTTTTATGCTAATGAACCATCAGCGCTGATTTTCTCAGATCGTTGACATAACTAATACCTTTAATATATTGATAAACTTCACGAAGATATGACCTATAGGTTTAGTTACAGTTATTGTTAGCATTACTGGTGGAAGGAGAATAGTAATTCTTACACAGATGCACCCAAAGTGTAGTTTTCATTAGAGATTACTGTATAATACCCACATTTTTCATGTTTCTCATGGAGTATTCTTATTCCAAATCAAACACTGTATTTACCAGTAATGTGATTTATGTACAGAATCTGTACCCAATCGCAATAGTGTAAGGATTGATTCATTTAAAGTGATCTGGTAACTTTGTCTCAGATTCTGAAACAAACTCCTGGATTTAGCTCATGCTGCAATGATAATTATAAACCTTTAGGTCAGTCAGGAACCCCATGACTTTTACAAGCCGTCCGCCTGTTTAATTATGAAGATATTTATGTTTGGAAATCGAAACAAAATTTTGCGTTTGGCTAACGGTTTTCATAACACTATATTGGGGAAAATGAGTGTGGTAAAACCGGTCACTCAAAGATTTTTCACTTTTTTGAGGCACTTGTTTTGAAGCGCGGTTATTTTAGGGCTTCAATATTACACCATATCACAGACACTGATAACACGTAGGGCCATGTATCTCAGATTTAACATTATTAAACGATGCCTTTAAGTGTCCTGCTCTTATATCTAGATGAAACAGAGAGTACGACAAAGCTATATTTATCCTACTTTCGCTATTTACTGAGTGATGATATCATTGCTTTGCCATGTGAGAACGAGAAGATATTAACTTCAATGTGGTATGAGAGAAATTCCTGTCTTGCTCTCAAACCAACTAGTATTTTAAAAGAGATAGAATTTGTATATTGTACTAATTTTTCTGGAATGAAATTCATATATTCTCAAATAAATAAAAGGTTGTGTATCAAAAGGTTTACTCTGTTATTTATGTCTTCATTTTATTTCAAGTACTATAGGATCATGATTATCTTTTTGATACAGCCAGACTTACAAAGATATTTGCTGTGAAATTTGAATGCATTGTGATTTCCACACGTGATCCATAATTGCAAAAGTATCATTCCAAAAAATAATAAATCAGATGATTAGAGTTATGCAATTTGCAAAAATATTTGGAGAGGGAGGGGGGGGGGGGTGTAAAAAAAAAGATATATGATGACTGGTTATGATAATCAAAATGTTTAATTGCATTGTCCAAGGTCGAAAGCATTATGAGAGAGAGAGAGACAAACAGAGAGAAAGGGGAGAGAGAGACAAGAGAGAGAGAGAGATAAAAAGGGACAAAGAAAGAGATATATAGAGATAGATTGAGAGTTAGGGTAGAACTTGGGATAGCTAGAATGAGGAAAAAGTATAAGAGGAAATGGGATGGGGAGAGAAAGGAAAATAAAGAAACATAAAGAGGTGGTGTAAAGATAACTTAACTGAAATTTCAAAGGTTGTTAATAAATTTTAAAATGTACGTTACTCAGATTATCTTGATAACAAAAAGATAACAGAGATAAAGAGAGAGAGAGGGAGAGAAATCGTCTGTTTTATACTAGAAATGATAGGTCCATGGTTTAACTCTGAAACACAGGTAATACGGGTCACAACCTAACGCACTTCGTACGTACATGAGCCAGGCGCGAGTGTCGTGTGGCGGGTATTTCCCGAATTCTCCGCTCGTATTTCCCTCTTTGATCTCCAGTCAGAAGCGCATTGTAAAATTGCGCGCTACTTGTTTCCCTAGCTTTGCACACGAGTGGGTTTTATTCGGAATATGTAAAAAAAAAAAAAAAAAAAAAAAGATGCGTATATTTGGGGGATACATATCTTGCAAAACAAATACTCTATGCGGTTGGTTATTTGTCCCATTCCTGGTTAAGTGGTAAGCCTCATGACAGAGCTGGTATTTGAGAAACGATAGGTATAATACAGATTCAGAAGGACCTGGTATTTATTTCCTTTTCTAATCAAATGAATACAACAAGAATTTACATTCATTTTACATAATGAGGATAATAAAGAGTCTGTATAGGATAATTTATACCGTATGGTAAGATAAAATGATGATAGGCCTGTCCCCGTTGGCCCGTCCCATTTCATTGAGTGAGCGGCCCGAATGGTCTGCCTGGATCCAAAAGCCTTCACCGGGGGAGGGAGCTAGGGTGGAAATGATACCCATGTAGACACTGCCCTATCTCTCAATGATCGAATAGTCATGCCATATGAACATGCAACCCTGGGAATTGAAGAGAGAGAGAGAGAGAGAGAGAGAGAGAGAGAGAGAGAGAGAGAGAGAGAGAGAGAGAGAGAGAGTGAGAGAGAGAGAGAGAGAGAGAGAGAGAGAGAGAGAGAGAGAGCACTGGCGGCGGAACGTTTTTCAAATTTTGGGTCCACCAAAAAAGGACACTTTCGGGGGAAAAGGGGCACTTACAAAGGGTAAACTTTTTGCAACATTACCCCTCCTCCTCCACCTAGGCCCCCTTTTATCTTTCTTTTTTGAGGAATCCATTGCTTTAGATCCCTTTCGTTACATTAATAACAGCAATAAATATGACATAGCTGACCGTTTTTGTTTTTAATTATTTTTTTCATCGGGCTTTTCCCACCTAACTATTTGAATTAACTTTAATGTGTGGATCAAGTTTCTCACCATTCCTGACTTTATTTGCGTTATGGGGTGTATTGAATCCTTTTTACTTGTTATCCTTCCGTCTCTCGCTTTCTCTCTCTCTCTCTCTCTGATTGCCCCCTATAGGAGAAAAGGAAAGCGGAAGAGAAGAGACAGAAATTAATAGAAAAGCTTTGCTATTCATTTCTGTTATCATAAGCTTGCATCAGGGATATTCGAATACCAAATCAATTAATGAATTGAAAAGTAAACGACCTTCCTTCCTCGTAGAGGCCTGCATTATCTTCTTCTTTTATTAAAATGCATGTTTAATACACACAGATAGGCCAAGCTCCAAAGTGACTATGAGAGAAGAAAATAATTATATGCGACACTTTCAATCCGGGGTTTCAATGCATTAAATTAAAAATAAAATTGTGAAAAAGGCATAAATATAGGGGTAATATGCAGAATATCAAACAAAAAGTAGAAGTTAGCACTATAAAAATAAACGCAATCGGGAGATAGATCCGTGAAAAGTGTTGTCTTGCTGTTAGTTATGTAATGAATCAGAATGCACTGTGTTCCCCAACATAGCACCAGGGACTTTAAAAAAACACAATTTAAATTCAGTTACAAAAAGCAAAGCTGATACAGCACTCTATTTCAATAGGGAACATTTTCGTTACTCTGCAGGAGGACAAAAGGGGTTAAAGCCCTTCCTGACGTAGCAACAACGGGTGACATTTTGGGGATGTAGGCCTATTGTCCATTATGAGAATAGAGGTCCTTTCTCCTTGTCTATAGGAGGACAGGCACTTTTAATATACGAACAGGAAAGTAGTGGACTAGTTCTGTAGTGTCACTTCAAGGGAGGAAAACAACTTCAAGACATTTTCAAAGTAATGTCGGTTAATGGAAATCAAAATGATTCCACTTTTCACACCAATTGGATTATGTATTTGTTTAACTTCATACATAATTATACTTAAAGTTTACGATCTGTACGCAAATGCAATCGGGTAACATTATTCTCCAGCTTAGCTATATCGGGGCCATCATTATTTTATCAGAAGGGGAAAGGGCACTTATCAGAGGTGAAAAGGGGTACTTAAATAGAATTTTATTAGAGGTGATAAAAAAAAATGAAATAAAAATAGGGGAAGGGGCACATATTACAAAAGAAAAAGTGGCATTTCTCATACCTAAGAACGGGGAAGGGGCACTTATTAAAAACGGAACAGGGGACACTTATTGGAAAGATGAAAGGGTTACCTAAACGAATGGGAAAGATACATATTACAAAGGAAAGGGGCAATTGTCAAAGTAAAAGGGGAACCTATCAGATTTGGATAGGGACACTGTCTTATCAGAGGTGAAAAGGTGCATCGATAGGAAAGAGGAAGAATCATTTATTACAAAAGGAAAAGGGGCACGTATCAAAGTAAAATGGACACTAATTCTTATCAGGGAAGAAAAGGATTAACACTTCTCTCACGTGAAACAATGCAGTAATCAGAAAGGAAGAGGTCACTAAATAGAAAGAAAAAAGGCACTTGTCAAAGTAAAAGGGGCACTCAGATTTGAATAAGGGCACATATTTGAAGTAAACTGAAGGGGTACTTTTGGGGTACTTGAAAAGGATGGGAGGGACACGTGCCCCCCCCCCCCCCTCGGAGCGCCGCTTCTGAGAGAGAGAGAGAGAGAGAGAGAGATAGAGAGAGAGAGAGAGAGAGAGGGGGAGAGAGAGAGAGAGAGAGAGAGAGAGAGAAATGATGGGGAAAAATGGAAGAGGAAGGGAATTAAGAGGAGAGAAATTTAAG